GCGCGAAACCGTTCGTCGCTAGGTCCAGCTGTGCCAGCTGCACTTGCGCCTGGCGCCACAGCCGCTGCGCCTGCTGCGGCAGGTGCTCACAGGCGGCGACCGGGCGAGCCATGGGCGGCGAGGGAGACTTTGGCGCATTTTGCCAAGGGATGTTAGGACGTTAACTTGGATGTTAGGACGTGAACACTTTTTGCCAACTAATGGGGTTTCCGTATTAAACCACAAAAAGTTAGACTGTTAGCAGGGGAGCAGAAAGCAACCGAGCAGCGGTTTTGCCATTCAGGTCCTGATTTCATGACTTGAGTCACTTTTTGGCCGTTTGGTTGCCAAGATTAAAGCGGTAAATGCAGAAGAAAAAACACGTTTGACCACTTTTTCTGGACTATCCATTCAGGAAGTGAGTCCAAGCCGGCTGCTCCAAGCCGGGGTGTTTGAGCAGTTGTTACACACATGGTGTCCATGATGAGGTAATGTTGGGTTGAATATTCCCCACGGCCCCGTCTAATGATTTCGGCCCTTAAAAAGCAATCGTAAGCTGCAGCGCGGGAAAAAAACAAAGCGTCAAGGATGGTCACGGACCCCAAGATGTAGACAACCACGAGGATCCCTTTTGCAGCCATGACTATGGCCTGAAGGAGTTTGGAGTTTGGCCTTGGCACGTGGCAAATCACCAAATTTATGTTTCGGGAGGCAACAGGCGATGGTATGGAGTAGCGCATCAAAGTTGGGGGCGGTTCAAATCCCCCCAGGTCCCACTGGTAATGCGCCGTGGAGACCACAACAAGTCTGGCTATATCATGGTTGTTGTTGGGAAACATTTTACATTTTTGCTTATTGTGGTTTAGTGGAAAATCCTTCCTTAGCTGTGGTTTAGTGGAAAATCCTTCCTTAGCTGCTAAAGTTGAAAACAATGCTTCCCTTCCAACGTCAACCAAGATATAGGGAGGCGACAGGAAAACGTCAGGTTCCAAAGTTAGTTTTTGCCCAAGCGAAGAAAGTCACTGTTGTGAAGGACACTTTGACATTTGTACGCCACGAAGGGACTCTCGCTGCGTAATCCTGATTTACTTGCCCTGGAAAGCAAAGTGGGCGTCTAAGAGTCTAAGTGCAGCTCGCCGTTTGCCCGCATCTTGCCTGAGCTGGATGTGTTTTGATTGATGTTTGATGATTTTTGCATGTTTACGCCACAAAATATATTATACTTTGAACCAGAATCAGCATGTTGGTTTGAGTTCGGGGCAAAAGCTGAGGTTTTAAGGTTTTCTTACACGGCGGTAACCCTTGATACTCCTCTTGTATCGTTTTTCCCAGGTCTCTTGCTGTGTCCCTGGAGTCTCCATGAATGACCCTTTAAACATGGGGTCATGACCCCTTTCAAGTTACTCTCTTGGAGACTCCAGGTCCTGTAAATGTTACTCTTGGCAAGTTTGTTGGCCTTTAGCTTTTGTCAGTCTTTTCACGCGAAACATTTCCGACCATGCGGCCACAGGCGAGGAGAGTGAAGGCCGGGCATCGAGTTGGGTCGTTCGGAGTCTCTGCGGGGACGCGTTTCCGGGCTCGAAACATTGCAACAAACGACGAGCAATTTAGCCTCTGTGAAGAGCCAAGCGATACTCATGTTTAGTCAAGAACCCGACAGATACTTCAATTGGGACTCCTTTCGTCGCGTCAAAAAACAATTACAACAACAAGGCAGACAACTCCGGACGGGTCAACCATCGAGCAAATGCCAACAACCGAGGAAGAAGGGGAATGATGTCGGTGCAAAAATGCCGCTCAGCCAAGGGTTTGGGTGGGCATGATGGGGGACTCACAAAGGTCATCCGAACAAAAACGGGTCCTCCCATTCAAAAACAGGCTGCAGAGTGGCAACACGTGCTGCTCGTGGACTGCATGTGGTCCCTTCGCAATGTACCAAGGACAACCATCATAATCTCTTGTTGTGCATGCGCGTACCATTCGCGGAGCGTGTGTGTGTGTGGTTTGTATTCGCAGAGCCTCAGGGCAACCTGAGCGAAGCTCATGTTGCCAAAGAAATAGCATCCGGTGAATTCTCCCAAGGAAGACATTTTTACCTGGCGGTTGGGGAAGGCTACTTCGGGGTATTCAATTGTATTCAACACATGGAAGGGCAAGCCTTTCGCCCCTAAAGCTCCCGCTGAAAATGTCCCCAAAGTGCATGAGCCATGCGGATGCCATGACCAACAGGAAACCCCATTTTGGCTGGGTCTTGTTCTTACCAAGGAACCAGCTAGGACAACTCTGCGACTTGTTGAAGTGGCTGGCGAGTTTGTGATGAAGAGAAAAGTGGGCCAAAAGTGGGCCATCGCTGGCCTTGCTGGAAAACCCACTACCCAGCCATTGTTTCCGGGAGGAAAAAGCTCACGGTATCCCAGTATATCCCATGGAAGGGACTTGGGGATGCGGTGGTTGCACCCTTGTGATAAGTCGGGATTCTCATATCGAAAGCACATGTTTGCTTTGAATCACAAGCGGCATGCCACTTACTATGTATCGCTGAACTGTTCTCATGAAGTGCCAAACACAGAAATCAAGTTCACAAAGTCCTCCAGTAGAGAGGTTAGAATAAGGGTACCCATTTTTCTGTAGTCTATTTTAGCAGGGGAACCCTCCCCCCAAAAAGGGTGAGAAAGGGCACTGCTGGGGGACCTGATTGTCCAACAGCCCCCCGACGGGTGACGTTGAGTTAGTGGCGGCCCAACTCAAGTGGCCCGTTCTATGTTTTCAGCTCGGCCGAAGACCACCGCAAAATCTGCGGGCTTGTCTCGTTTTCTTGGGTGACCCCAAGGTACACTCCCTCCTAACACGGAAGCTCCCAGAAGGCCTCTACAAATGGAACCAAGTCTTCCCAAGGGGTCCTGCGAGCTTCCATGTGGTGAGGGTAGCAAGTGGGTGCCAGGGTGTTACGCACGATCAGGTGCAAGCCGGAACCCCATTTTCAAAGTACTCTGCGTTCTAATCTCACTTCTTGAGTTCCTGGACTGCAAACTTTTAGGGAAGACCGTGTTAGTGGCAAACAACACAGACCTTTTTTTTTTTGTCCATCCACTTGGGAAGAGAGTCATTTTGGCCCTCGTACATCCTCGTACCCCGAAATCTCTGCACGGCAAAAAACCACCGCGCTTCAGCTTGGAACATGGCATCCGTTCTCCTCGCGAGGCGTGACGGCCGAATTCCGCGGACCCGCGCTGCGTTTGGAGGCGAAGTGCGAGAACTTTGGAGTCCCTGCCAAGTGGAACCCACTGTCTTATTTGTTTTTCTTGTTTCTTTTTCTTTTTTCCCGGGGGGGGGGGGAGATTCTTGTTTCTTTTTCTTTTTTCCCGGGGGGGGGGGGGGAGAGATTCTTTCGACTTACTTGAGTAGACATAGCAGGCGCTGAGTGTCATGAGTTACTCATGTGTTTCCAGTAAATAGATAAGAATCTGCTGGATGAACATTGGGCGCAACTTCCCACGTGGATCCTTGCAATTGGAGACCTGTAGATCATGGGATTGTGAATCCTGGGTTGCTGGGTGTTAACCCGGAACGCTAGCACCCAAAGCATGCAAAAGGAGATTCCTCTCTACAAGTTCGGTGATTTGCTTGTAGCCCATACTTTCTGGGGAGAGTTCCTTAGGAGTCAAAGGCGTCAGGGAATTCAGGCCCTTTCTTAAGGCGTAGCTCAAGGCTTTGCAGGCCAGGTAGAAGAGTACAAAAGGAATCGCATATCGCCGTATCTGAGGACCACACATTTGACAGTGTGTTTTTGTTTTTTGTGGCAGTGTCGCTCTGCAATTTGTGGAAGTGCTTTACTCTACGGGCGTGTTGGAGTCCCTTTGCATCGACTTGGTTTAGGGTTCCTGGCCACTAAAGTAATGGCAAGGACCGAATTTGGATAATCCTTGGGTAAACCATGTTGGTTAAAAGTAACCGCCATTCGTTTCATAGCGGCCTGCAACTGAACCCCAGGGATAGTTGTGTTTTTTCTCTTTTTGTTTCCGCTTTTTGCCGTGGACTCGGACCTGGAACGAGGAAGGTAAGACCATATTCTGAAGGCTGGCCACAAGCAATGAGGACCACCTTCAGCAGTTGCCTTGCGAGGCTTTTGCCAAAAACATGCCCCGAGCTTTTGGGACCTGACATGAGTTCCTCTTTTTTTTGCCATGGAAATCCACTGCGCTTCTCTTTGTTCGGATCCATCCAGGTTGTTGCATGGAGCATAATATATATATAATATATATATACATATATATATATATTATGTATAAATGTAGGTGCACATAAGGTGTACCAGGCTTCCTTCCTTTCAACTCAACCAGCCGCCCTTCCCTGATTTCCCTGGGCTAGCCTTTGAAGGCTCAAAGGGACGTTGCTCCTGGGCGTTGCTGGCTGATACGTGTCTGGAGGGGGAGGTCACTTTTGGTGTATGGACACCAAGCGGCAACCAACCGGTTTGTGCGGCCATGAATGTTCGGTGTGAGACAAATCCCACTCTTTGGCAGCACAAAAAGTGACAGGACAGCAGCCAGGAACCAAAACGAAGGTACCAGGTTACCAGGTTCGACTTTTAGCGACAAACAACTTCTGTTGGGAGTGGCTTCACACAGAGACTTGATCATCATCAGTCCTCGGTGCTTGGAATCCCTGATCCGGGAAATCTGAAATATTCTGGTCTCGTGTTGTTTTCATTCTTTTCTTTTCTTTCGGGAGAGGATTGCAACCAAACTTCAGGGAACCCTTTCCTGGTGGCTTGGATTCGTGGTTAGGATTTGGATTTGCACCCCTTAGTTGTTGTAGAAGGTAAATGGGAAAGTCCCCTAAACCACCAACATCACTAATCCAAACCACAAATTAGAGGATAGCGGAGCCAAGTACCACGACAATTACACGACTATAACAATCCAAATCACCAATCCAAACCTAAAAACACACACACACACATGAGAGGATAGCTGAACCGAATTCAGGAGAAATACCCACGAAAACACGACAATCACATCGTGTCTTGGAGGGCAAAGCAGGGCGCCATGCCTGGGCTCTGCGGTCATGGCCGAGTTGCCCAGCAGCTGGCCCCGCGAGGGCCCAGTGCTGATGCTTTTGATGGCCAGGGGAACCTTGCTGCGAAGTGGACTTGTTTTTCTTCTTTTCTTTTTTCAGATTGGGCTTGCTTGAACATATTCAAAAAGCAAAGTCATACATATAAATAATATGTATACATGTACGTTGCTTTCGGGCAGTGTGAAGCTATTTGCAGACGCCCCCAGGACTTCGTGCAAGCTGAGGACTGGAAGATGTGGCCTTGCGCGCCCTGCAAGGCTGCATCCAAAAGGCTTATCGACCTCTTGATCCAGCTTCCCGCCAAGAAACTTTGTGCCTGTTTGTGTGTGTTGTGTGTTGTTGAGTGCTTGTTTTGTGGTTTTGTGTGTTTCTTTTCTTTCACCCGGTAATTTTGAGTGTTTTTCAAACTTCTTGGCCTGGATGGGTTTGGCAGAAAGAGGATTGAGAGCACGCGCCTTGATTGATTGATTGATGGTTCAAGTCAGGCTAGCTGCAGGGCGCACATTTTCTTGGGTATGAAACGGCATTTTCATGGACACGGCCATGGCCCTGCGCTTGTGCCCTCCTTGACAGTGCCTGCAGAGGCAATACCCTTGACAGTGCCTGCAGAGCCTGACTTTTCGCAGTTCTTCCAATCTGGCGTTCATTGTGCAGTGATCGAGCGCATGCGCCGTTCTGGGTTGATGTGCGATGCAGACATTGCTGGCCTGCGACCGGATGAGCTGGTGACAGCCATGTCTGGCTTTATTGACGATGAGGAAGCTGGATGGTACATCGAGCTTGCCCGTGGCGCTTTGGCATTCCTTGCCAGGCGTGCCAGTGGAGCCCCGCAGTGCGCTCGCCCTGTTGAAGGCCTCCCTGTGCCTGCTGTCAAACGGTGCAGGCTTGTGGGTAGCATTGCGCCGGGCGCCTTTCAGTGGTCGCAGAATGCTCTGACTGCCCTGAGGCCAGTTCACCAGCACTCTGAGATGGTCCATGCTTGCTGGGAGATCTATGCCGCCCTTGGCACGCATGGCGAGTTGTGGTCACCGTTGCTTGAGGAGCACCAGGCCATTGCTCGCGAAGGCCTGGCGAGTCGGCTGCAGATCTTTGAGCGGCGCACTCTGCAGGCGCAACTCAGCGCCCTGAGGCGGTGGGCCAATTATGTGTTGCAGTTTGGCAAAGGGCCTGCAGAAGTTCTGTTGCCTCCGGTTGCCCTGCTTTTTTCCTTCCTTAAGCAAGCGTCTGACGGAGGGCCAACTGCAGCGCAAGGACTTTTCCAGAAGCTGTTATGGTGGCGTCGGCATGTCGGCATACCATTCCCGCTGGGCGACCCCATGGTTGCAACGTGGAACCGAGTGGCCGAGGGACACTCTATCCAGCCTCGTGTGCCTTTGAGCTTTCGTGCTTTTCAGGCGCTCTGCAAGCTGGCCCTGGGTGGTTCCACGAACGTTGCTACGTTCGCATCTTTAGCCCTTATCCCATTAGTGGCTTGCCTGAGGTTCGCCCACGCGCAGCGATCAGCTGATTGGACGCTGTCCCACGACTTTGCTCGCGCGGTTTGCTTGAAGGGCAAGTCGCGCAAACATGGCACGCGGCCGTCGTTCGAATGGGCTGCTCCGATGCATGTTGGCAAGTGGAAGCATGTTTTGGGCTTAGCGTCAAGGGTCATCATTGACTTGCGCAGCCAGGTGCCTGACTTGTCCTTTTGTATCCCAGATGTTGCCTGTGGGCCCTCCGGTTGCCTGGACGAGCGTGCGCATTGGCGAGCAGCCCCGATGCCAATGGCGCGCTTTGTGAAGCTGTTGCACTCAGTGTTACGTAGCGAAGGTTTGCCTGATGCAGAAGTAGGCCTTATCAGCACTTACTCTTTGCGACGTTTTTTGCCAAGTGTAGCAGAGGTCTTGCGAACGCCAGTGGAAGTTGCCCAACACTTGGGAAACTGGACGGAGTCAGTTACGACCAAGCATGCCCAGCCAATGCCAGTGCAGATGAGCCAGCACTATGCTCATGACAGAGTGCTCTCCGCTGGGCACACTAAAGCTTTGTTGTGCGCAGCAGTTCAGGAGTTGCTCGAGACAGAATCCGGGCCGCTCGATTGGCAGTCTTTCCGCACAAAAGGGCTCAGCTGGCAGCAGATTTTAAATCGACATTCTGCTTTGGCTCCTCCAGCAGACAAACCAGTAAATTGCCAGGGAAGTGACAGCGAAGCAAGCAGTGACGAGACTTCGTCCTCTTCCGACGGTGGCTCAAGTCACGAAGGGTTGCCGCATGACTTAGAGTGGTTTCGTTTTGCCCGTGGGGTTTCTCATATCGCACGTGAGCGCTCCCAATCCCAACCTGTTCCTTGGTGCCGTGGCACTCCGTTTGCGGGAATTCCCTTGGAGTGGGGCATCGGAATAGAGCCAGGCTTGCAGATTTGTGCCAAATGCCAAGCCTGCGTTCCACCGCACATTTAACGAGCAATCGACTCCTGCAAATAGACAGTGAAAGAATTCTGCGGCTGTGCGTAATAGGTCAGTGTGTTTGCCACTAAATTTCCTGACAACACAAGACACGCGGGTTTCAGGGCTTCGGGGGCCTTACACTCATGTTTTGTGGCCCTTCGGCCCTCGGCCTACATTTATGTCTTGTTGGCCCCCCTGTTTCTTTGCAAGCTTCAGCTTTGGCAAAGGCTTCTTGTTGCGGGGTTGTGCCTACTCTTATTTGATTTGTTTTCCTTTCACACGGCAGGCTTTTCCCCGAGTGGCGTGAGGCATGTCCAGTTTCAGGGCTTCGGGGGCTTCGCGCAGCCTTTTGGGTGCGTGGCCCTTCGGCTCTAATTGTTGTTTGTTTGTTGGCCCCCCTCTCTTGCAGATGCGGGTTTGTGCCAACTCCTTTTTTTTTAAAAAAAAAAGATTTGATTGGCAAGTTCATCCAAAGTGACGTGAGACATGTCCAGTTTCAGGGCTTCTGGGGTTTCGCTGGCCCCCCTTCTCTTGCAAACTTTCGGCTTTTGCTGGGGTTTCTGCTGTTGCAGGGTTGCGCCCCCTTTGTTTTGACGGGCAGCTTTTCCCGAGTCACCATGACATGTCCAGTTCTAGGGCTTTGAGGGCTTCGCGCAGCCTTTTCGGTGCGCGGCCCTTCGGCCATTGACCTACGCTTGTTTTTGTTGTCGTAGGGATGCATCCACTCTTTGCTTGGCCAGGCTAGTCTTTTACTGATCTGGGACGAAGGTTTACGGGGATTTGTGTGTTTGCCAACTTTCAAATTCCCTCAGTCACGCGAGACATGTCGGGTTTCAGGGCTTCAGGGGCTTCGCGCAGCCCTTGTGGTTGCGTGGCTCTTCGGCCCTCGGCCTTAATTTATGTAGTGTTGGCTCCACCCTTTTTGTGGCAAGCTTTCAGCTTTTGTGCACTGGTTTTTACCTTGCTAGTCTGTTGTTGGGAATGATGCTTTACACGTGCATTTACACGACCTGCCGAGCTTCAACCATTGTGTTTGACTTTCCGTCGCTCGCTGCAGTCGCGGCCCATGTGTAGAATGCAGTTCCAACCCTAGCCATGCCAGCTCCTGGCACTAAGCCTGTTGCCAAAGATAAGGAGGCATTGCTGCAATTGTTTCGGCAACACCGCCTTGCAGACCCTTTGATTGAATGTCCCCCATCTTCTGGTTGGGCGCGATCTCATTTGGTACATTGACAATCAAGCAGCTTGCCAAATTCTCACCAAGGGTGCCAGTAGTGCAGGGGATTTGTGCTTCATCGCATCACTAGCGCATCTCCTGTACGCAAAGCTGAGTTGCAGGGTGTACTTCGAATACATCGAGTCGAATGCAAACCCTGCAGATGGTCTCTCCCGTGATGGCCTTGATGATGCGTGGACCTTTTCCCAAGGTTGGTCCTTGCTGCCGGCAATTGTGCCTGATTTAGTTCGCATTGCAGCGTCTTCGCTTGCAGCAGCTTTGACGGCATTGTAGCATTGGGGGGAACTTTGGGGTGGCTTGATTACACACACACACACACTTCAGAGCGCCCTGTGGCTTTCACCTGCACTTTGTGCTGTGCGCCCTCTTGGCCTCTGTGTGTGTGTGCAAGCTTTGACTAACCCAATGACACTCCCTTCTTCAGCTTGCAGACATCGGCATTATCTCACACTGCATGCGAAAAAAAGAGTGCGCCTTCTGCAGCAAGTTGCCGAGCTTTCATTCAAACTTTCTTGGCCTGGATGGGTTTGGCAGAAAGAGGATTGAGAGCACGCGCCTTGATTGATTGATTGATGGTTCAAGTCAGGCTAGCTGCAGGGCGCACATTTTCTTGCCCGCCCACCACGCCCTGGCATTGCCAAGAGTCTTGGCCTGCCTGTGATTTCTTCTGCCAAGCTTGAAGTGGGGTGGCTTGATTACACACACACACACACTTCAGAGCGCCCTGTGGCTTTCACCTGCACTTTGTGCTGTGCGCCCTCTTGGCCTCTGTGTGTGTGTGCAAGCTTTGACTAACCCAATGACACTCCCTTCTTCAGCTTGCAGACATCGGCATTATCTCACACTGCATGCGAAAAAAAGAGTGCGCCTTCTGCAGCAAGTTGCCGAGCTTTCATGTGTGTGTGTGTGTGCAGGTGTGTTTGTGTCTTTCACCCGGTAACTTGTTTGTTTGTATTTCACCCGGTACATATACCGTATACCTTGTAAGTGGGCGGATCTGATTCTTGGAACATGTGCGTGGGACTGCAGTCGCGGGAGGTTTTCGCACGTGCCAGTATATATGTTCAACTAAGTCCCCCAGTAGTGCGCCCTTTTACATATATATTTTTGGGGGGGGTCCCTACTAAAATAGACGACAGCAAGAAGGGTACCCTTATTCAAACCTCTCTACTGGAGGACCTAGTCAAGCGACCAGTGCAACAGAAGCCCAGAGTCAACAGGACTGCGGCAACAGAGAAAGTAATCAAAACATGACCGCGGAAGCCCGCGGAAGCAGTTTAAACGGAAACTGGCTCGCGGAAGGAATGGTCGCCGCGGAAGCTGACTCTTTCCATCAAATAAGATAATAAAGAACTTCCCCCGAATTAGTTTCCCTTTGTATTTTTTATGATTTTTTTGGGTTCCCATTGTTTTCCACTAACCAGGCATTTGTTTTTTTTTGCTTTCTGGGGTCCTAATTCCAGCCAGGAGAAGACAGCGCAGATGTGAGCAGCGAAAGCCATTGACCATTTTAGTGGTTGGTTCTAGCTGGTGTCAGGTGGCTGTGGCTCAAACATTAAAGTACTAGGGGTACGCAGGTTTTGGTCTTCGGTTCTGTTTACCAAGGTGCCATTTTGGTACATTTATTTGAGCCACACCCAGGTGATGAACCATGTTGGAATCAGAGGTCAATGTTTCGGTTTCGGTGCTGCTCAAGGAGAAGTGGCTGACGGACAGTCCTATGTATTGACAAGGGGCCCGTAACTTTCAGGAGGGGATACAGAACATCAGGGAGAACCATGAATTTGAAACCAGGGGAAATGCCTCCAGTGATGAATCCCATTAAGCAGCCAGGGTGATTATATTAATCCAAGTCCTACTGTGGATGGTTGCGAAATTATTTCGCACCGCACCATGAAATGAATCCATTGAACCCAGAACGTTTGTTGGCATTCACAGGGGGATCATCAATCCAAGGTTTCTTCGGCGGTGCAGAATTTTGTCCATCCACAGAGGGTTTGAACAAAACGTGGGGTGTTCTTTGTTGGGGCACCATGTTTGAAATTGTGTTGAAAGGAAGCCAATTCGAAATGCCCACTGTGAACAGGGGCCCTCTTTGGAGATAGCCCTGTGCCCGAAAGAACATTAGCATTTCCCGAACGACGGAACCTTTTTCATGCTGGACATAGTGCCATAAGATGGCCATAGGGATGGCCTATGTTGGCCTTTTTCTAACCATCCACCAGGAGGGGTTCCTAGATTTGAAATCGCACCTACACGGAGGCTGTGGATTTGTACAGCCAGTGCTAGTGATCAAATTATCTCGCCCGGACCCCTAGTCTTCAGGATCATTATTCCTCTCTTTTTCTGACAAGCTTGAGATCCTGACAAATCCTCGTCTATCACTCATGTGGAAAGCAAGTGGATGGGGCTGAGGGTTGTTGGCTTGCTTGGACCCACAAAGGGAGCTTGCGACCTTCTTTATGACGGCTTCTCTCATACCGAGTTTTTAGTTATTAGTTTGGTCTGGCGAGTTATGAGAATTCGCCTGTATTCTTTCAGTGGCACTACTTGCGCTTGATGCACGTGTCCTGCCAATTCGAAGGCCATTCAAGCCAGCTGTGAGCCGCTTGCCCCTTTGGGTGCCCCTTGACATAAGCTCCGTACTTGTAGCGTTCTGCAAAAGGGATATCTTCTGTTGGGACCGAGGCGCACATTCATCAAGACTCCTGCCAAGAGAGGCTTGGCTCAAGCTGATTTTGTGGGTGGCCAGGCTTTAAGTTGGTTTCGGTGGTGTGGTGTTTCCTAGATATTGCCCAGAGGAAACCTGGGACGCGGTAGGAAGAATTCTGGGGGCTGGAAGTGCCTTGCCTAAACAAAGTTGACTAGCGTTTGATTTGCGACTTGCTTCAGCACTTTTCTCCAGATCCTTCTTAGCCTGTCACAGCGTCAAGACCCACAGATCTGATCTGAGCGGCGTCCAAAACCCTTCGTGTACATGTTTAGTAAGGGTCATGTCATATCGACCAGCGCGTAAGGAAAAACTCCACGCGCGTAAGGTGGCGTAAGCTGGTGGCGTAAGCTGGTGGCGTAAGCTGGTGGCGTAAGCTGGTGGCGTAGGCAAAACCTCCAAATGCGTCGCGTCAGCAAAACCTCCACGCGCGTACGGTGGCGTGAGCTGGTGGTGTAAGCAGAATGATACGACGTGGCAAATCACGACACGTTTAGGACATGGCGCATCTGGCTGTGGCTCAAAAAGCCGGTACCAAAATGGGTTACCCTGGCAAGTGGAAACATGGACCAAAACCTGCGGTTTGCCCCTCCTGCTTCATTTTGAGCCACACCCTGCTTTCGGCATGACGCCGTACCATTTGGCACATTGGCGGCGGGAGTTTGACTCGGTTCGCGCAGGCCACCGAAAGGAGAGCCTCCGGCACCAATTGGGACCCACTTGAACAGCTGATTGCTGCCCAGGCCAGGTGCCCGTTCTTGTCTGTAGTTCTTGGGGTTTGCACCGCGAACAGGCAGTTCTGAGATTTGAAGGGTGTGCTTTGTTGGGGAACCTCCCCAATTTTGAGTTGGCCTTGAGGGGACGCCAAAGGTGGACTTTTGCACTTTCGCTTGGGCAGCCTAGACGTTTGACTTGGCTTTCAGGGGACGCCAAAGGGAAAGCCACCTATCTGGTTGAATTATAACGACCTCACACGGCCTCACCCCAAAATGGTGGTTTATGTGGGGAATGGCCCCCCCAAGCACCTTATTTCAGGCTGATGAACTATGATGATTCACCCTGGCTGTTTGGGTTTGGACCATTTTAAATGGCAGCCAGACAGTTTGGTGACCTTTTTCTGGGCCAATCCACTCAGGCGGTTTGGTGAACGTCGGGTTTCGCAGAGCTCCCAGCTTTCGCTCGAGGAGCGGCAGCTGTCCCCGCGCGCATCGGAGCGTGCTCTCGCGGCTTGGTCGTTGGTCATGGCGTCCCAGGCACACTAGATAAAGGGGCAGGGTACTTCTTGACTGCTCTTGGGCTGGATTTTTTAGACTTCAACTTTTTTGGGAACTCAAGGGGGTTTTCCACTAAACTCGCAAAAAGTTGAACTTTTTGCAGGGGGGTCAACAGCAACCAAGACTTGGTGGTTAGCAAGCCTGGTTATGACCCACTCAGAAGACTTGTAGCCCATGGTAAGTACCCTGCCCCTTTAAGTAGGGTTTGCCTTGCATTTAGGGACCTCAACATGGCTGGTTTGCTTTTGGCGAAGCGAGTTGCCGCCAACCAAACGGGGGCTCGCCAAGAAAGACACGCACCAAGAACCGTTGGTTGGGAGAGACTAGATGTGGCGTACTTTGGCCAATCCACGCGCCGGCTCGGCACATTCCTCAGAGTCACCAGGTGACATCTTCTTGGGTGGTCGGCCAAGTTTGTAAGCTGGTCCGTTGGTGGTAGCCTAGGTTCTAACCCACTTGTTGTGGGGTTAACCCAGTCATTGGTGGGTTATGACCCAGGTGGCTGACCACTTTCTAATCTGGCGAATCGAACATCCAAGTAATCAGCTCAATTGTGCAAGGTCCTTGTGTTGCATTTCCTCCCACATGTTTTTTTTGAGGGTGAGGCTCTGCGCAATCTGGAGTCGAGGCATTTCACTTCTTTGCGCATGAGCATGTATATACATCATGAAACAAACGAGGCACATGATATGAGGTCGCTGTGCATTTCTCCGGGAAAAATACCAAGCATCCCCATTTCAAAGTGTGCTTTACATTGGTTTGGGTGCACCATCTGAAACGCGCGCAGATGTTTGGGCCTTTGGGTTGTTTGTCACGAACACTTTGATTCTTACGCTTCCACTTGCTGACGAATATCTGTTTTCACCTGTTGGTCTTAAAAGGGATCTATCAGTACTTGTTGCGTGTTTTCCGGGGGACTTAAGCAAATGCAAGTATGCCATGTTCCGGCCTTGAACAGTTTGCTCCGACTCTGCAGGAGTTGGCCTTCGGCTTTGATTCGCCAAAGCCTTTGCGCATTGCCCATCGACATGACGTTTTGGGAGGGCCATGTTAGCAGCAAAAGCTGGAACCTTCGTGCCCAATCCACTCAGGAAGTGTGAATTGAAAGATCCCACTTGTGTTACGGATGCAGCAACTTTGCAGCATAGTATGTCTTTGCTCGTTGAATGTTTTTATCACCCAAATACAGACAGCTTTACACATTTGGAAGGATTGTCTAATGTGGGGAGTGTTCCTCCGGGCTTGGTAGCAAGTTGTCATTGGCGACCAATTTCAACCTGTAAACATGATATGTGCAAGGGCTTCACCCTGTTGTGTCAGTTGCTTTTATTCCGAATTGGAGCGGGTTTTTGTTGGGCCAGTCGGCGTCGGCACTTGCATCGTTTGGGGCTTAGCTAGATGTTTAGTGTAGCGTTGGAACCACTTCATGCCCGGAGCATCCAAATTCCTCTTTGATTTGCACGTCTAGTCTTTTGACAAGCTGCTCGAGCTGTTATATCAAGCTCGACCATCGGCCCAGGGTAGTGCTACCGGAAGTGAGCGACCAGCACCTAGCAGCTCTTGCAGCGACAGAGGCTGGCTAGAAAATGTTGGGAGGCCACTGAGGCCACCTGAGATCCATGGCATGTTCAGTTCCGGTTTGTGGCGGTATGGAGGCCAAATTGGCCACCGACCTAGGGGGGTAGACGTTTGGCGGTGAGGCTATATTTACAACCCGCATGGGTTTTTTGGCTCCGTCAGGAGCTTCTCTTTGGTGTCTATACGCATTCATACCTTCAATACCCTCAGCACCCGCCTTCAAAAGGAGCATTGGAGATGATTCACTGACCCAGAAAATCAGCATGCTTTTGGACTTTCCTTTCAGTCAAATCCAAAACGGGGCTATATGTTTGTAACTTGGCGCAGATGATTACAGTACTTGAAGGGGCGACTGGGTGTCAGGTAAGTGGTTAGGAAGGCTGGTGAAATAGCCCACAAAAGCCATGGTTATAAGTCTCCGTTCAGAAGGGTTGTTTCTTACCAGGCTTAACCACTTGCGTCTTTTTTGGGGGGAGGGTTCCCCTACTAAATTAGACGACAGAAAACAATCGGGTACCCTTACTCTATCCTCTCTACTGGAGGACCTAGGATATGCATTTTTTCTGTGTCTTGGACTCTCGCTTCTCTGAAGCCTGCGGGCTTCTGGACCGAAGCACGAGCGGCTCTCCGGGCTCAAGCATCTCGAAGAATTTTTGGGTGCTGGTGTTTGCGTCTTTCGAAGGTACCCCTTGTAAGGTTGACTCAAATGCAAGCCAAGCCGAAAACAATGCAAGCCAAAAGGCACACCATATTGTAAGGTTGACACCCAGGATTTTGCCCAGATCATTTGGGGCTAAAACATATTATGAGCCGAAGAAGATAACCCGTTGTATGTGTCAATGCAAGGCATGATCCCAGTTGTTTTGGACCTATCAAATCAGCTGCACCGCCGCTTGTAATTTGAAGGGAGTGTGTTGCAGGAGCGACCGCGCAAGTCAAACATGGGGCTGCGCAAGTAAAGCGCAAGTGAAGCGCAAGTGAAGCGCAAGTGACGCAGTGATGATTCATCATCATCATCGTCATTATTCCCATGGCCCAAAGATGAACAAGTTTTCGCGCAAGTCCCGCGCAAGTCACGCGCAGCCCACAGATGCCCCCAAACCTGCTTGGAGCAGGAGTGGCCCATTTCTGTACTTTGCATGTTCTCTTTTCCGCAGATCCCAGCAATTTTTGCTGAGTGAATTTGTTAGCAGAAAATTTGCAGCTGTATATACACATGAGACCTCATACATTTAAAGGAGCATGCTATCGGGGGACCTCCTGCTTATGAAGACCGCCGCTTGGATTTGCAATGTAAACAACTTGGGATAACAGTTTTAATACGTGTTTTTTTCCAGCTCACAAGGCAAGCCATGTGGACCCATCCTGGACTCCTCACACGGGTACGTGCCGCCTTTGATGAGTGACGATACCAAAGAGAGTGCACAGCTTTTGTAGAGAATCTGACGATTTGTTTCGTGGAAACCGAACATTTGAGCACTGCATTTTCTGATTTTAAAAAAGAAAAACAAGTGAGGGCTAAGAAGATATTCGTGGTTCCCAGCCACCCGGCGAAGGTTTTTCGAGGTTTGCAGTTGGTTTGGTGGTCATTTCCAGCCGGTTCCTTAGGTTTTTTCGAGGAACCATTACAAGTGTTCGACGTTTAGCAGAGGATCAGTTTGGACAGGGTTTAGTGATAATTTCCAGAAGCATGAACAGTTGTTTCGACTTTTAGAGGATCAGTTTGGACAGACCAGGTTTCGGGAAGGAACTGTTTGGGATTTCTCAAGAAAGCCACCAGTTGGATGGCTCACTTCGGGGTGAACGCTCACATCGGAAGTTCATTTGTGACCAGCACCTGGGTCCCAACCACTGCTTTTTGGCCAGGAACCCAGGGGTTTTTTGACATGGAGGTTAGCCCTGGAAAGTCGCACTATTTTGACAACCCATTCACCAATCGCCCACGCACTCTACGATGGAAGCCAATTGACCAATCGCCCCCGCACCCTACGATGGAAGGCTCCTGTTGCGGAGGTTGAGATTCGTGCTGCCCTGGTTGATCGCACATTTCTGGGTCGACTGGCAGGGTGGCATCGCATTCAAGTTTGAGCAGTTCGACCAAGAAACTGGGAGCGGAGGGTCGATTTGTTCATCAACACCACTATAGAATGCACGCTGCATCAGGTTTGCTCTCGCATGGGTCTGGTAAGTCTCCCGGGGACAAGCGCTTCATGCCCTTCCCAAAAAGCAGATTGTCAAATTGATTCCTTTTAGGTATACCAAACTGGTCCAAACGGGTATGGGTCAAAGTTAAACCACCAACCAGGTGTTGGGGAAATATTTTCCACTTACCAGGGCAACCCATTTACTAATATGTTTGACCAGCCAAACATATTGTCTCCCAAAAAGCCCTTCCCAAAAAGCAGATGGTCAAATTGATCCCTTTTATTTATGCCGAACTCGTCCAAAGAACAGCAAGCTGCTCCTTGTTTTGTTTGGCTTGCAGGCGGACGATGCCTGGCCCTGTGCGTCACCGGTGGGCGAGGAAGGCACGGCACTTTTGGGCGAAGATGTGCAGCGCGGCCAGTGGCATCGGGTTTTCTGTGCAAAAGCTCCGTGGTGGGTTGGGGGTGTGGGTGTGGGTGGGGGTGGGGGTGGGTGCTGGGGGGGTGGGGGGGTGGGCTGGTGGTGGGGGGTGGGGGCATGTTGTTTACATTGTTTAATGTTGACCCAGGGGTAGCCATTATTAGGTCCAAAAGGTCCAAAAGTGATGAATCCCCACTAAAAGGAGACACCCTTGTATTAATCAAGCAGGGGTTTATGAATCCGGGGTTATCACATGAGACGCTGGATTGTTTTTAACCTGCTACCAAGCGAATCCCAACTAGGCAAGAATTGTCTAGACATCCAGGTGTGTCTCGCTTTCTTAGAGCAGCTTGTAGTGCAATCCAAGGGGGGTAAACAGATGGCCAAACAAGCCTAGTCTGTTGCTTCAATTTGGCAAATGAGCAACCGTGCATATACTGTACAGGGGATGACATGGAATTCTGATTGACCATTGACTCCTTTGAAGTTGCACTCAAATCAAGCTCAAACATGGTACTCCCAATTGGGCATGTCTCAAAATCGGGAGTCCCGTTGGATGAAGAAAGAGAACAACAATCACAGAGTGTCCCCCATGTTTGACGCACGCCCAACTGCAACCTGGCACTTTAGAACTTCTCTACGCGATCCCGTGATCCAAACTATGTGATATCAAGGGAATCCCATGTCAAATGATAGAACTGAAGAAGTCACACCTCTTATCCTTGCCAGACTCAGATTAGCACACGTTTGTGTTTGTTTGCCCTTCAAGTTGTTCTTATTAATTTCCTTCACCGAACAGCTCGCTTGTTGGCAGGGGGAAGTCTGGCCAAGAAAAGCGCGGTCCATTATTCGGGGGCCGCATGCCGACCCCATGGCCGGGTTTCCGTTGGCTTCCAACCAACCCCAAAAAGGGTACCGCCAAACAAGCGCCCAAGATCTGGTGTCTCCTCCAAATATACATTATATATATATATATGAATGTATCCATGTATTACGGAAGTGTCGTAATTAAACTTCCTTTGCTAAAGCAGAGTCCCCAACAAACAAGAATCTCTGCGTACAGACCAATCAGGGGCCAAGAAAAAAGTCGAAAGCGTCTCAGGCCATGTAGACAAGTTGGCTGGATCCGGACTCCCACCGTTTTCGGTTTTCGACCGGATGGCGCTTCCACCCGTCTTGCCCCGTGGCCCGTCCGCTCGGCGGTTGCAGGCGAGGCCTTCGTAGGGAAGGCCCTGCTGCGGTTGGACGCCTTCGGGCGCCAGCAGCGGCGGCAGCTGCTGCGCCTGGCGATGAGCTCGGGCCTCTTTCAGGCGCGCGGATGGACGCAGAAAGACCTGCCATGGGGGGTGAGCTTTTCGGGGGAACGGGCGACTTCGCCAGGGTAAGGATCCTTGCGGATTTTTTTTCCAGGTTTTGGACATGTTCTAAACAAATTTGAATAGAATTGGCCTCCATTGGATTTGCGTTCTTGGGCTCTTGGCTGCAAAATCTACTGCGCTACGGCACCAAGATATACCTGGAGACCCGTTTGGAGATACTAGCCTCGGTTCAAAGCACGGTGGTACAGTTCTTGCGTTTTTTGCTCAACATTATGTTGCAAAGACTACGGGTGGTTTCTCCAGCCAAATCTGGCCACGTTGCAAGAAATGCAGCCAGAGCCCAAAATCGGAACCGCAGCCATGTTTGCGGAGGTAACACATCAAGCAATCAGGGAAAGAATTGACCTGGATCAATACACACCCTGGTTGCTTGGGGTCCTGTCAAGAGGGGATCCTTCACTCTTGGGAGAGACCCCTTCGAAAATGGTGGCTTGCTGTCAGGGAAGGTAAAATCCACTCGTACAATCAAGACCTGAGATGAAGGGATACGGAACAGTCCCAAACAGAAATGGGTCATTTGTTGACGTCCTAAATTTGACTGGCTCTTTTGTTTAGGCAGCAGTTGGTATACCCCTATAGTATACATCGCTACATAATATCAACCCAGTTGCGGCCCCTTTTCTGGTTCTCATTTGATTACCACATGGTTGTTTGAAGTCTAGACCCACCAATTCGTCTTTGTTCTATTTGAGACCTGTCGTTTGGGATGTCTGTGACAATTTGAGTGAATCCACCGGGGCATCCACGTCGGTCTTTTGCGCCACAGCCTTGTGACCAGCAACACCAAAGCACAGGGGAGAGTTTTGTATCCCAGGTTCGGATCAAAACGCAGCGGGTAGCCGAAATATCCCCTGCAGAAAAGACTGTACAATAGTATGGTGATACTTTTCACCCCATAAATATCAGCTCGGGCACTTTGAAAGTGGGGTTCCCTAGAATTCATCACTTAAGGCACCCGGGAACGCCTGGTTCGCCTGGTTCGCCTGGTTCGCCGCGAACTTTTTTGCGGCTCCGCCGGTTTCCTCGTTTTGTGGCCTCCGGGCCTTCGCCGGGAGGGTGCCTTGGCATTCGTGGCGGCCAAAGACGTTGAGAGCAGCGGCGCCCGAGTGGGGCGAGGCCTCGGGACCCATGGGTTCCGCGGGATCCGTTTTCCGGCACGCCAAAATGGGGCGCCAAAATGGGGGCGGTTCTCGGGTTTTCGGTTGGTTGCTCTTTTAGCACATTGGTTTTTTGTTGCTTCGTTCTGTTTGTTAATTTAATCAAATTAAGCATGGTAATGTTGACCCTTTATGAATGAGCTAGAATAAACTGTTCCCCTCCAAAAGTGCTCTGATTCCCCACTAAACCCAGAAATGGACAGCCCCTATCAATAAACTGGTACACCAAGACGTGGTACCCCCAAAGAAAGACACCCAGGTGGTTGATCCTTGAACGTGTCCCCTACACGGGTGAGGGTCACCTTCCCACAAAGCGTTCTTTTGTTGTAGCGAATGGCTGGTCACGCCTCGCTCCAAGAGAAGTTGCCGTGATCCCGCCTACTGTGAGTTTGATACCACACATGACGTGCCACGTGTCAGAAGCCTCATTCCCCAACAGCTGAAAGCGATAAGGGGATCTTTGGGGCGGAGCCGCTTTTGGGGTTCTGTCGGGGATATCGCTTGGCCTTTGCAGTTGAATCACCTTTTTGGGGGATTGGACCCCAAATGGGGTATGCGGGGTATGTTGTTTTGCGATTAGAAAACCGTGAAACTCTAGGAGTACCTTCCATTTCCATTCTTTCCAGGGATCCGAATCGTTTCAGGAAACCATCACAAACCCGGGCGAAACAGATCCGGTTTTTGAAAAGAACGATGGTTGACAAGAATGGGGAATCGCCCCCTAGAGAAACCTGAGTAAGGCTCGATGCCTCACGAGAGCATGTTGAGTTCTCGTATTGATTTTGGAGTTTTCAGGATGTCTTGCTTAGACAAGGTCCCATGTGATACCCACCCAACCATCTCCCCCCCCCCCCCCCAAAGAAGCAAACAACTAAAAACGAAAGAGTAGAATAGGCCATTTTGGGGCTGGTCCAAACGGCAAAGTTCTATGAGTGATGGCTAAGGTCACCCGGATCCAATACATCCAAACGAGGTTCGTGGAACCCGTGGCGTAGGTGCCTTCCACAAAGAGGAATTAGTTCTCCCGCGCCACTTTTTTGGGGTGGAAGCCTATCTTGTCTAGCTTTCAGGGGAAATCAAAAGGACAACCCACCATTTCCTGGGTTCACCAAACTTAAGACAAGCAAGTGTCATGCTCAAAGAAGATTTGTTGTTTGGGATTACCAATGTCCATGCACGAGTAGTAAAGTCCCCTGATTGAAGGCTTCCCCTTTTCCCTGCCAGATTCTCAGCAATATTAAAGTAAAGGGCAAAAAAGGTTCGCCCGACAAATCATACCCTTATTTTGGGCCTTCTCAAGCCGCCGGACAAAATGACTTGTATTTCCAAGAGGACTTGGACACTTGGGTGGCCTTAAAAGTTGTTCTTGCGGGAAACTTGGGTTATCGCTCCCGGTGCCCTCCAAACAACTGCAGACTGCCAATCATACGTAGTGTCATGCCTTGTACCTGTTTTCTTTGTCTAAAGCCCTGGCAACGGGTTTATGCCCAGTTTGTGGTTGATGGTAGGCGGTTTTTTTCCCAGTGTTTAGGGCTTCATCTATTCCTGAGTGGTGTTGAGTGGTCCACATGGGGTCTTTGCCAATAGCCCGAAGGCAGCTTCCGGAAGGATTGATTCCGGGGACGGGAAAGACCCGGCCGGAATTTCCCATGTGGCTTGTGTGTTCCTTCAAGGGCACCAGCATGAAACCAAGCGTCCCAGTGGACCCACCACACGCCACTTACCATAAACCTATCAGAAGCCACCTATAATGTAAACCCTATAGAAAGCCCGAGAAACCTACGGGATCCTAACAACTGGCAATAGAAACCCTATGAAAATCCAGTTAAGCTAAGGAACCCTATCAACTGGTTGCCAGTTGAGCTCTCCGGAACCCTATTCGACCCAAGTGCCCAGTCGCTGCGTCAGGTGCTGAGACCCAGTTCCAGGGCAGTCTGGCGCAAGTGGAGGCGTCGAATCGATTCGGTACGTCAGGGAAGTTAAGCCTTGCGAGACACAAACGCCCTATATACCCCTACCCGCAACCCCCCTTTTGTTGACTACTTAACGGGGCAATCAGGTATGGTTTGTAAGCTTTGTTATATCCCACTGAATGGATCTTAAAAGCATGGCGTTTGCGGGTTATAACCAGGCTTGAGAACCAAGTACCCTGCCCCTTTACGTAGGGTGGCTCGTCTTGTTGGGTACGTCAGGTAGGTGGTTCGTAGTTAGTAAGCCTGGTGAACGAACCCACTGAACGGCGACTTACTTCACTATGGCTTTTGTGGGTTGCCAGGCTTATGAACCACTTACTATACAATGCCCAAAAGGGTTTTCCTCTCTGGCAGTACGCCCGTGGAGGGTCTGAAGGCAAGGAAGATGACGACCAACCACATAGCCACCTCCTACCCCGATATCGCCGTGGGGACGCTCATCGAAATCGAGTGACAGACTACTTGAACTCGGCGAAGAAGAACCTCAAAGACGGCGAGGGCGACAAAACGGAAACCGAGTACTCGTGGTCATGATGGTCACCCTCCGCGTGTCCCTGCAGTTGGCCTTGCCGGAGGCGATGAAGATGGAGGCTTTGACTGCCTTGATTCACCACCACGCCGACCTCGTCGCCCTCAAGAAGAAGAACGGCACGAACCCCGAGATCCGTGCGGAGTTGAACTACATGACGACCTCTGTGAAGGGCGACTACTCGACTCTTTGACGGGGGGAAGGAATTCAGTGCCAAGACCAAGTGGCTTGGGGACACGATCCACATGGCTGATTCCTACAGGTCGATAGACCGTATGCTGAAGAAGATCCTCGACTTTGTCAACGCGAAGGTTGGCATGAACGCTGTCTTGATCAGGTCGGAGGACACCCCGCCTCCCCAAGATGTTCGTCAGGCTTTGAAGACCGACACCCACAACCGCATTCACTCCATCCTAAACAGCAAGAAGACCAGAGCTGTCACTTGACGAAATGTTTCCCATAAGTGTTCCCTCAACCCGCACTGTGACCATAGACCGTTCCAATTTTCTTGCTCGACGGTTTGTTGCCCGAGATCTCCTCAACACCGGCGCGGCTCCTCAAATAATCTGAACTGTTGCATTAAAGGACATGTGTTTGCCAAACAAACAGACCACAACGCTTTTACAGGGCTCCGCCCACACCGCCAAGCGTACTGGGCGCAGGGTCAAGGTGAGAACAGAACGGGGTACCACCAAGTGTTTTTAGCCCCCTAAGTCTAAGACCCTTGGTGGCAGAATTCAACGAATTCATGACCTGAAATCGAGACGTGCGCCGCCTCCTCGAAACACCGGGGGCCATTTTGGCCCCCCAATCGGAGGATAGGTCAGAGCCCGACGTAGGCTCTACCGTAAATGGCGAAGGCTGTGCAACAACACCATGGGTTCGGGGCGGGCTCCCGTTCCCCACCTCCCCTCCCGCCCCAAAAAAGCCACTCCCAACAGGGCAAAGTGGTTCCGACTCCGACAGTCAGTGTTATGGCAGCTCCGTTATCGCAGACAACAGAAACGGGAAATCATTTCCTACCCAGCCACTCCGCGCCTTCCGTACTCCACTAAGCTCAGGGTTGGGACGCTAAATGTTAGAGGGTTTGCTGAGACCCTTAAGCTGAAGGCGTCCATTCAAATTATGAAATAAAACCGTTTGGATGTTTTACTCCTGACAGAAACCAAGAGTACTTCTTACTATTCTTATATTTCTGAGCAGCACTTGGTCGTACTTTCAGGTGACCACGGGGATAGGCATGCAGGGGTGGGGGCAATTGTTGCACCTCAACTGCGACCTTACCAGTTAACAACCGCATCATTCACTTGACTTCACAAAAAGGAGGGGGAGCAGTCCACGTTGTAGGAGCATATGCCACACATTTCGGCAGGTACTTGGAGCAGGACTGGCAACCTTTTGGGGAGCAACTGGAAGAGCATGCATGTGGGCAGAATCCCTCAACCAGAGCCCGTTTATGTGCCAAAAGACCTCAATGCCAGCCCAACATAAACATGATCTGGGGGTTGTCGGCCCCTTTGCCTATCCTTTTCCTATGGCAAGGGGGCTCGACATGTTGACCGCACCGCCAGCTCGAACAGAATCTCTGTGTCAAAGCCATGCAGTCTTTGCAAATAGAAGCTGCCTCGTACATCACCCCCAACCCGGTGCTCCAAAATGGTTGGAATTTGTTTCGGACCCCATCATCATGCAGCAGCTGTACGATGTCTTTCAACAAAAGTTTCCGACCAATGGTCCAGAAGTTGCAGGGCAAGGTCTTTCCTTCTATTGGGTGAGCCATTGCCGCCGGAGCGGCAGGACCCGCGCCCGGACCCCACCAGGATTTCAAAGGCTTAGCGCGGCAACTTCTTGTAGGTCCAAGCTCCATACTGGCTTCCCTTCAGACCATTACCTGCTAGTAACAGAGGTTCAGGTGAAACTGGCCGCTAGGCAGAAAAAAAACATGAAGGCGAAGAAACTCAACCTCGCGCAAGTAGATGCTGCGACGCGGCTTTTGTACAACGAGAGGCTCAGAGCAGTCTTAGACAGATCCAGCAGAACCTCCTGCCCTGACTTGCCGACTGAACACGCTGCGCGTCGGATATTCTACACAGATGGTTCGGGGACAGGAGGCAGATGCAGCGCCGCAACTCCTGCAGGCTGGGGCTGGTGCACGCAGCACCAAAGAGAATGGACTGATGCCAAACGGCCAGCAGTCACCAACTCCGACCACCTTTTGGGGTGCCAACGTTGGGTCAAACAACACGGGGGAACTCACAGCCATAGCAGAGGCATTGCTGTACGCTCACGAACACGAATTCCAGAACATCGCAATCTACTTACTTGGACAGCAGGTGGGCCCTCAACGTGCTCACGGCAATGGCGTCCGAAAACGCGCCTCAAACTTACTCACCACATCCGCTGGCTCATGTGGGCAACAAGCGTGCCGACCGTTCGGCTAACAAAGGCCGCTGGCTCATGCAGGCCGGGGGAGGCCGGCAGCACAAAAGAAAGACCTCCCATCCATCAACCTCCCTCCTCCAACAGAAATCCCCGGAGTGCGCTCCAGCGCGCTCGCGGAAGGCCCGCGTGGCCCTTATAAAAATGTGTTCGGTGTGTTTATTCGGGATTATTTGGAGCAATTTCCCTAGGGGGTGTAATTAATCCCAGGGTGGAATAGGATCATCAATAGAGATATTTTGTTGACTTTAAACAACCCATTTGGAGGGCCGTCTTTTCAGCGCGCATTCATCTCCACAAAACCGAGCCAGCAGCCACCGAAATCAGGCGTTGGTGGCCTCGTCCCCTTGCTGGGTGGCGGCCCGCACCCTACATAGCCACTGGACGGAGTCGAGTCGGGACTTGGACTGGGTGTCAAAATGGATTCATTGCGGATTTTGGACATGGAACCAGCAGTTGGGGGGCGCTGGACAAGGGTCATTACAAGCAGCACGAATCCGGTCCTGCTTTTTGCATGACGGTTGCCCGAAATCGAGCAGCAAGGCGATTTGATGGCCGATTGAGGTTTCAGAGCCCCCAAAATCGAGCTGTTGTTCAACGGAAGCCAAACAGGGCTGCAGAACGCTTGAAAATTCAGTTCATTGTCCTCTGAATTCTCACAGTGTGAATGCGTGTTCGGAGATGCACGTCCGCAAAAGAGACCCTTGGTACAGTATTGGAACAGGGGAGGACCCCTTGTTCATGCATTTTGGCTCCGGGGGCAATTTTCAGAAAGGGCGAGTATGTTTGATGGTTGGTTTATATAAGGCTAAAAGTCGTTAGTAGCTATACTCCTATGATCGTGACTTGGCTTGGCTTGTACCCCACGCCATTCAAATCATTGGGCCTGAGGATGCGATTTGCGATTTGACCCGTTTCGCGAGTTTGAGCGAACAGCTTCTTCGTCTCGCGATTAAAACGGAACATGGACCTATAAATGTTTAGGTAGAACGAGGGGATCCCCAATCAAAGTTTTTAATTCCATGGCCCATGTCACAAAGCATACTTTCTGGCTCCTGGTGTCCAGTTCCAGCAAACATGGCAGTTTGGGCGATACGTTTTACCAGTGGCTCGCCAGCACGAGGCAAACAATAGAGCATGACCATGTACTTATTGCACAAATATACAAGCAAATTGTTGTGATGGCGTCCGACTCAGGGATTGTGGATGTCATATATCATCTTGTTCGGGATCCCCTATCCTAGCGTTTCTGAAGAGTGTCAGATACTTTAAGCCATCCCCACCCCCTTTAAAAATGGAATTGGGGGAGGGGGGTAACTTCTGGAAATTCATTTCTGGTTCCATTTTCCCTCCCCCCATACAGCAGGGGGGATTTTAAGTCACTTTAAGCAGCTGGTGTAGTGATTGCAAAGGCACTGACTTGTTCAATGCCGCAAGGATGAGGCGAACTGCTTTTCAGGGTGAGATTGCATTAACCCAGTTGCCCAAAGCCGACCCTTTGATCTTTTGGTGTTCCCATGTTATTTCCAACTCCTTTGGGCAAGTGAGTTAAGCAAGAACGGTTTGTGGGCCTGAAGGATACGTGATCGACACTAGGAGGCGAACAAGGTGATGTTTTGTGCTGCCACTCAAGGGGGTTTCGCACTGCCCTCCTACACACAAAAAGTTGATGAAAGCAAGTTCACCTAACCTTGTGGATTTTTTGGTGTGGGTCACAAGTGGGTGCCTTTGGTTCAGCAGTTAGGACGTGGGATCTCTGAATGGATTCCCAAAATGGTTAGTTTCCTTCCGACCCTTTTCCTTTGTTGGAGGCAATCCCATGGTTTTCGACGGTTCCCTTTGAAAGCTTTCAGTTTCCCTTTGGAAACCAAGACCGAACAAGGCGTCAAAGAACCAAAAACACACGTGACGTTTGCGGCGAGTGACGTCGAAGCCTTCGCGTTTTCGGGGCCCGGAGGTGAGGCGCAAGCTTTGCTGGGTCGCCCGGGATCCCGTCCTGGCAGGCGCAGAGCTCTAGCGCGAGGGAAAGGACCGGCTGGCGTGTTGAACACGATTCCATGAAGACCTTGCCGAACAGTCGCCGACATACCCGCAGATTTGATGTATCCAACATGTTTTCAACAGTTGTTGGCAACCTAAATATGGACGAGAGGGCGGCAAAGGTTCTATTTTGTGAACCCCTTGCCAAGATTCAGAGGTTCTTTTACCGAAACACTGGCTTTCTCACCCTGTGACGTGGCTCAACTTATGTTGAGTAAAATTGCCACCCAGCGGTGTCAGGCGTGAGGGCAACAGGATGTCTGGAGAGGGAGGAGAAGGGGGAGGTAGCCTCTCACCAATTAATTCGGGGAATCGGTCATGGTTTGGACCATTGTCCCTTTAAAGCGACCGGGCCGAACGTTCACGTTAATTGGTGTCAGCCCAAAGAAGCCCTACCATTTTGGGGCTTTGAGGGCTTAAGAATGAACTTGAGCTTGGGTTCAAGCAGACCTGATGTGGTTTCTCAGGCATTAGACGCCTTTGGCATGAGTCCACAGGTAGGTTTTTGAAGTTAGGCAACAATCGTGGTGCATGGTCATTGAACTTAAGTTATAGCTACCATTACTAGATGAATCTAGCAGACCTTCACATCGGCTGCTCGCAGTTTCTAGAGATTTTTCGGCGAGGATGCCACCAAGAGGCGTCTTTAATCCAAGTTAGATGGATTCCACGGATTCAAAGAGCCAAAAGGAAGCCGTTTGCCAGCAGAGTTAGCAATCACTTTCCCCTTACCTTAGGCCCCCCTCCTCTCCCCCCCTGTCTCCCCTCTCCCCCCACCTCCCCCCACCTCCCCTCCCAAGTTCAGGTCAGATTCCAATATATCATGGAAGTGCACCGAGATATTCGGACAGCACTTCCAGTGGGACAGTTTATTGAATCGTCCGATCCAAGAAGCGAAGTTCAAACAATGACAGCCGACTAAGAAATATTGGCTTTTAGCCCACAACCCCCGGTTCTAAATATGTGCGCCTTCATTAGCTTCGCCCTCAGAAACTGTCGAACTCGCAAAGTCCTTGAGCCGCTCGCTCGCTCCGTTGTCGCAGGCAGAGCTTCAGAGCCTCTTGTGTCCGGGACGGGCGGCACAAAGGCGGGGCACCTGGCACTCGGTAGATGTCGGGTGGGTCTAGGGCTGTTGAAATGAAATCCACGAAGCTGCGATACAGACAGGGCCGAAAAAAGAAACAACAAAACGAAAGACTAACCTCCGCCCCCCCCACACACACACAGGGGGAGATTCCCAAAAGTATCACAAAAGTGGAGGGATAAACCCCTGTCTCCCCACACCCGTGCCCTAGAGGAACCCCCGAAAAAGGTTCACGTCCTTCCCATAGGCGTCCTTTTTGGTTTGTTGCGATAGAAATAGATCGCACTGGTTTAGGTTGGTTTCTTTCCATTTACCAGGGCCATTTATTTTCTCACAAGGACAGCTATGTTCCTTGCTAAAAGGGAACCACCCCTAAAACCGCACGTGAGCCACAATCAACACCCGGATAGATGAAGGTTAGTAAGGGGCAGTCCCAGCCAGAAATAGTTGCGGCCGCCTTGGTAATTCTTTACAGGGAGCTGGGTAGACCATTTTAATACCGGGTTTTGATTGTGACTCACGTGAGGTCGACATTACGAAGCCCCAAACACAGAAACTTGGTTTCCTTCGGTTCCCTCCGCCACCAATGTGTTATTCTGCGGAATGGGAGCACGCACTTGATCTCGGGCCAAACCGATGTCAAGACTGGGTCCACTACAGTGGCATCCCAAGCAGTAGCCTATGAAAAAACATGCTTTCTGGATTTGGCGCGCCCCTCGAAATGTTCATCTGAGTTCATCTCAGGGACCTAGAAGCAGCCCAGATCACTAAGGGCTAGGAGCTGCCCAATGTGTGCGTCCTTGAGGGACGTCCCAACATAAATCCATCCTTTTGGCTTGGCGGCGTTCAGCAAAACAAACCAGGGCACAGTTCACCCCCTAAAACTTGCAGGAGTTGTTTTCTTGCAATAGACTGTAGGAATCCTGTGGCATTCGTTATTCCCTTGTTTGAGACAAAGCACTCAGCTTGTCGCGTCGTCGCCAGCTGTGGGGCCCCGAGGCCGAAATGAGTTGAGGTGTCCGATGCCTGATCTGCCCACAAGTGATCAGGTTCATAGCTTCATGTCGCCAGCCATGAACCACAAACCGACTTTGTTAGGCCCCCAGTAGTGCCCTTCTCTCCCCGTTTTTGGGGAGAGGGTTCCTCTAGTAAAATAGACTACAGGAAAAAGTCGGTACCCTTATTCTAACCTCTCAAATCTGGGGGACCCAGTTGTGTTTGGCGGTTTGTTTAGGGGTGGGAAATCCTCAACGAAGTCTTCATGGCGTTTGGAAATCAGCCACAAGGGAAGCCATGAAAGGCCCCGGGCCCATGGCCCCGCATTGTCACTAGCAATGGCTCCTTTTGGTTTCCCTTGTAAAAACCCATCCAAGCAGGGTGCCCTAAACAAACAGACTTTTCCAAGCAGGGTGCCCCAAGACAGCCCTACGCCGAAAAACGGGTTTCCCATGGTTTCCCGTTTTTTCGGCCATCCAAGCACCGGGGAACGTTTCCCCCCAACAGACGCCGCATATATCGAGCCCGGGGTTCTTCGCTTCGCCGAATCTCCGCCTCTCAGCGCCGAAATCGGGCGATTTCGGACTCGAGGCTTCCGGTGCCAAGACGTCATGGCCGCCATGGGCGCCGGAGCGCTCCAGGCCAACGGCGACTTGGACATCGCCCGGGCCTCGGCGCCGAGACCAGACCGCCCTCGCGGAGGTTTTTTTGCTTCTTCTTGTTATTCTGAAACTGTTTTATATGTTTTTGTTTTCCTGAAACCGTTATTTTTCTTCTTTTATTTGTTTTGTTTCTGAAAGCGGAGGTGTTAATACTTATCCATTGTTTCAGAATATGGGGCGTGGTTCCAATTTTGTTTGGGAGTTTGGGCCTTTGGTTGTTTGTTGCTAACACTCTGCGCCTTTGATTCTGATGCCTCCATTTGCTGAACAAACATGTGATTTCGCCTGTCGGCTTTGCAGGGAATCTATGTCCGGAAATATCAAACCTCCAACCTCAATATGGGTCTGTGTTTTTTCTTCAGGGAAACCACGTTTTTGTTTTGGGGGGGGGTGAAAAATGGGAAACCACTTGTTTGGCGTCCGTTTTTTAGGGCATCCTTTTTGGATTTTGTTTAAAGGCTGTGAAACCAACAGGACAACCACTATTCTGGTGGTCTCCTAAAGCAAGACGGACCTGTTTTTTGAATGTTGGTTTTAAGTGTTGCAGCTTATCATGACAAGCTAATTGTTTGGGGTGACTTAATCAAATGGAGGGAACCAAACCAGCGGGGTATCCCAACTAATCAAAGAGGAATTCCCCTTTGGTGCCCAAGTACCGGGCATTATCAGGGCTGCAAAATGTCACCTGCGCTGCTGTTGGAAAGAGAGATGGGTTGTGGGTCTAGGATTGCACCGAGCGCCTAAACGGTCATCAAAATGCTTCACTCGCGCAGTGTAAGCCTCCAAATGGCACCGGCGCTTTTCAAACTGCCTGTCTTCGTACTGTGGGTGGACAAAATATTGCACGGTTGAAACCACTGTTTGCTGGTATTTACAGGGGAATCATCGGAAACCTCATCATTCCGTTGGGCTTTCTGAACGGCGGTGCGAAATGACTTCGAGTTCCGGCAAGCTTGGTGCTTTCTGAGGCTCTCTACGACTACGAGATGGACTCCTGGCTTGCACGTAGCACGTTCGTCGCTCCGAAAACTGCGCGAACTCAGTGGCCGTGTGGTTTGCTTGCAAATGTTTGGGTTTACTACTAATTAGTGGTTCAAAGTGTTGGGGGAGAAACACAACACAGAGTCCATTCTTTTCTTAGACCCACTGCAATCCTTGGGTCAGATGTGGCTTTTCTAATCTAAGCAAAGGGTTGCCTTATTTGTTTTGAATACAAACTCTAAAGAGAGGACGACAGGAACATGTTGCCAGCTTACCGCGAATAACTAGTACGACTGCAGCTAGGGTCAAGGGGGAATCCATTTTAGTACTGGGAGGTTTGGGGTCGGGGAACAATGCTTGTTAAATGTGCTGCATTTACTAACAAGAGCAAGTGATGAGTCACTAGTCGCCGACTTGCAATCGTCCCACTTGTGGCTCTAACTCAGTATGCCCCTACAGATTTACATGAATATAACAACGACTCTCTTGTAGAGGAACTTCCTTTCGGAAAGTGTTGAGTCCGTTTTGGTTTTCGTTCCGTTGATTTGCAGAGAAGTACCCGGGAATGAAGGATTTCCTTGAGCTGAGGCCTGTAAGGATCCATCCGATATGCTTCCATGTGCTTTTATTTTCTCCTGCTGGTTGTAAAAGAGAACCTGTACCACTACTGGACATACTTTTCCAGGGGACATATTCTCAAATGTCAGGTAACTCTTGATGGGTGGTTTGGATTGGTTGGTGATTTCAACCCTGGGTTCATGTAGAGAGTAAATGGGAAACTATACCCACCCAAACCACCAAACCACCGAGCTCCAAACCACCAAATAGTAGGAGGCTGTTACACCACCACCGGACATATTTTTTAGGGGACATATTCGCAAATGCTTAAGATGCTTCATTTCCCCCTGTTGGTTGTAAAACGGAACCTACTCTACTACTGGACAAATATTTCTCCAGGGGACATATTCGCAAATGGAAGTTTCGGAGACGAAAGGAGCTGCTGGGCTTCCTTAGCGGGCCCATCTTCGCCTGTGGCATCTGGTTGGGCCCGGAATGGCGCGCAGCCCGACACGTTTATTTGTTTTTTTTTTCCGGTCAAGTCGCCGGCATCGGTGAAGCAAACCTTGATTGCCATGGTGTTGGATCTTTCTACTTTTCACTGTTTGACAGAAATCAGGTTTTTCATGGAACCAACAGAAACTATGTGGAAATCAAGGGTTTTCCATGGAACCAATAGAAAGTATGTGGAAATCAAGGGTTTTCCAATTGAACCCACAGAAAGTATGTGGAAATCAAGGGTTTCCATTGAACCCACAGAGTCAAGCTTTTTGCCGAGGGGTCAACAGCCAAGAAGTGACCCAACTCTGCCGATGTCGGGTTCAGGAAAGGGATCACTCATGGGAGTTAAGAGCATCGATTCCTTCCACCGGAGACCGGATACAAATTCACCTCTGTTTGCTGTCTGAAACCAGTGCCGCTCCGCAAGCTCTTTCCAATTCAAGCAAAAAAGCAAAAAGGAAAAAATGGGGCCAGTGCCCGCTAGCTCTTTCCAATTCAAGCAAACAAAAACAGCAAAAATAGAATGGGACGAGTCCGATCCGCAAGGGAAATGGAAATCGTCACCAGATCCTGCTCTTGGGGCGAAGGATTCGCTGTTCTCGTAGCGGTTTCCCTCTTGGTCCCCCAGCGATTGGTGCCCTTTCTCACCCGTTTCTTTTTTGGAGAAGGGAGATTTGGTTCCCCTAAAATAGACAAAACCGCAAACAGTTGGTACCAACTCATTCTAAGCTCTCAAGTCTGGAGGACCTAGTTGTGTTTGGCGGTTTGTTTAGGGGTGGGAAATCCTCAACGAAGTCTTCATGACGTTTGGGAGTCAGCCACAAGGGAAGGGATTAGTGCTTCCGGCTGAGTTCACTGGGGAAGACGGTGTAGGGCCCAGATGGTTTCGAGCAAGACCTGATCGACATCATGTTTGTTCCTCGATTTTTTGTTTTTGTTGGATCCGTCCGAAAAATGTCCCAGGGTTCCATGGTTTTCCTTGAAAGCCAGTTTTCCGGAATGGCCGAGTTTCCTCTTGGTGGGGTGATGCTTAGTCCGGAATGCTTGGAGTCCAAACTGCCCCAACCCATGATGCCCATGCGACGTGGGTCTCTCCTTTTAATTAGACACCGATAATATTATGGTTCCTTAAAGTACACACCTAAACCCACTTGCTTTACAAGTCGGATCCTTCTCCAGCTGGTGTTTGGTTTTGTTTGGGCCAAATATTGGCCTGTCCTTTTTTTTGTCAAAAAAAAGCCAACCGAAAAACCGTTGCGCCTTTCTTTCTCTTTAGGGGGTGGGAAGGGTAGCTTCAAAAGGCCAGACCCATGCACCCTGGGGTTCAAACCACCATTAAAGGAATGGTAGTTTCTAGAACCTACCATTGTCTACCTAAGGATTTTCATCATCCAAATTGGGTCCTTGTCATTCTTTCAATGGGGGTTGAACCCCAGGGTGTATGGTAGCCCCTGTCTGAGCTGCGGAACCTTCCTCCAAGGTCAACTCCCGTGGGGAGATCCAAAAAGGGCCTGAGCGCAACTTCCATGTGGTGCCCGTGGGGGACCGTCGGCGGAAAAGGTGACGGGGGGGAGGGCAGTTCTAGGGGTTGATTCCTTGTCCATTCTTTCAATCCATCGTGCTTTTCAAAAACCGGATCCGTTTCTTCCTGACTTTTGGATGGTTTCCTGAAAAGATTCGGATCCCTGGGTTCAGAATGGAAATGGAAGGTACCCCTAGAGCAGTAGATGGTTTAGGTACCTGCTGCACATGGCCCAGGGGGGAGATTGTGTCTTTTCGCGGCTGGAGGCACTTCTTAGTGACATTCTTTGGAGCGTTGGACAATTTACGGAAAGCGTTTCTCTCCCCCCCTGCCTGCCTTACAAAACGACGTTGATGTTCTTTTCTGTGAGCTCTTAAGAGTCCCTTGGCACTGGCACGGTTTTTGATTACCTCCTCTTGGATTTAAACGGAATCACTGGGAAAGGAGTATATCCACAAAAGCAATCGCATCTAAGCGTCGGGCGATGCTAAACTGGCTCCAATCTACAGGTTCCAGCTTGCACCAAAGGACAGCAACGTATGTAGCATTGTAAAACCTAGATAGACCCGAAAAGACACTTAAAATTGAACCTGGACGCCGGGGCCCTGGCCCCCTTTTTGGAAGAACATCACCATCCCTGGCAATGTGGCCGGAAGCGGGCGAAGAAAGAATGGAACAGCCTCTTTTTCTGTTTCCGGGATGTGGGGAATAATAGCAAGGCCTATTTTTATTTACTACTTCCGGGATGTGGGACATGATAGAAAAGACCTGTTTTACTATTTCCAGAGATAGAAAAGCCCTCTTTTACTATTTCCAGAGATATAAAACCCCTGCACACAGCCCAAAATCAAGCGGGGGACATCATGGGAATCAACCTCGGTTGCTCTTTGCTTCAGCCTGAGTGCAAAATGACAATTGTTTCAAACATGTGGATGGTCAAAGTCTACTTTGTTGGTATCCCCAATTGCCCAGTGGCGCACTTCTTGGGAATGGTTTCTCTTTAACCACCCAAGAAAGGATGCCCTTTTTCTTCCCACGGCCATTGGGCATCTGAGTATCCCATAGGGCTTCATATTCCCCACTGGTGCCTCTGATGCGACCTGGACAACAAGCTTCCCCCCGTGAACGTCTTTTACTGGATCCCTGGATGCCGGCCTTGCTCCCCGGAAGAAACGCCCCTGTTGTTCTTCCGGGTTTGAACATCCCAAACATACGCTGCAACCGATAGGGCAACAACGGGCCGCCCAGAAATCCCAGGCAACAGCGATCCTCTTGAAGAGGGGGAAAAAAAAAGAACCTGGACGGGTGGGAGCCAACTGAGCCAGAATCAACCCCCGGAGAAGTGAAGAAGTTAGTACGGGAAAGCCACAAGAAAAAATGGGTACAGCCAGTGCAGCCTCCCTTTTGATTCTCTGCATGAGTTTGGATAGACCACTTGAATGCCAGGTTTTGACTACGATTCACCTGGTCGCTATCTGTTGTTGCGGGCTCGCCGAGTCGGGGAAAAACTCGCGAACACCCATGATGTAACGTTCTTCACCCGTCCCGAAAACGCTTAAGCCAGCCAAAAAGAGTCCGGATTTCCATTTGACGGGTGAGTTTTTCTCTGATCTTTGCAACCATTCCTCATGATTTTCAAAACACCGTTGTTTCCCTCTGGGGGTTTTGGATGGTTTCTCCTGAAAAAGAATGATCTTTTCGGATTCTTGTCCAACTTGTTCTCTCTCTTTTTTCCACAAAGAGCCGTTCTTTGGGCTGTTGACCACGGCTGCACGCGCCTCCCCGCGAAGAAAAAAAAAGGGCGTTCTTTCATCCTGGGCTGTTGACCACGGCTGCACGCGTCTCCTCGCGAAAAAAAGCAAGCAAAGCGCCGCAGGACCGGCGCGGCTACCTGCCCTTCGACGTGCGGAACCTGCCGCGGCTGCGGCCCTCCACAGCTTTGGCGCTGCTGAACTTGGCGAAGCCCCGCCGCCCGGAGAAGACTCCGGGGCGGGGCATCCAAAACTGGGGGCGCAACAATAAAGAGGTAGGCGTACGGTAGGCTTACGCAGGTTTCAGTCTTTGGTTCCATTTCCCAGGGCAACCCTTTTTGGGTACCCATTTTTCGACCAGCTAACTGGCTGGCGCGACTTGTAGGGAATCTTCCATTTTGGTGAAATGAATGTGTGTTTTTGCTCCTTGTTGGTTTTACAGGGCCTCTATGCTCCAGTATTTGAGTACCGCAGGGTCCAGGGGAGACTGAAAATTCACAAAAATGAACAGGGAGCTTGACAGGGAGCTTGACAGAGGTGAAATCTACGTAAGCAGCTTAAGTGACTTTAACCCAGGAGTTCATTCCCTAGGGATAATTGTGGGTTTCGGCTTCCGCAGTTTGGCTGCCCCACAGAAGACTTTCTCCCAGGGGTGGTTCATTCCCCAGAAAGAAGAACCCCTGAATTTAGCCCTGCTCAGGATTTTTTTAACGATGGGTAGTTGCGGGACCGATCGATTTGGTATGTCAGGTAAGTGCTTTTGACTGGTTATAGCCCACTGAACGGAAACGTACCATGGCTTTTGACCAGGCTTATATACTAACCACTAAGTAATTACCTTGGCCCTTCAAAATGGCAGTTTCCTTTTGGTCTCCCGTTGAACCGACAAAAAGTAGGGTACCCTCAGAAAAAGAGGCCCATAGCTGATCTGAGTTTCCCAAGGGAGCTGTTTTTGTTTCTTTCCAGACGCCAAATTTAGCCCCCAGAGTCTCAGCTTGGTTTGTGTCAAAATAGGGGAACCTCCCCCCCAAAAAAAATATTTAAGAAAAAACAAAACAATACTGAAAGAACAAGAAACAGCACAAACGATGTTCCTTTGGGGTTTCCTTAGCACGAAGCTGACAAAGGAATCGAACAGCGCACACCCAAATAGGGTCTTTTCTGAAATCAGTTTATGTTTCATGGTAGACGAAATATGAAACATGATCTGAACCAGGGTAACCCTGGGTTTCAGTCTACCCTGGGGTGGAACCCTGATCTGAACATATTCTTTCTGTCACATCGATGTAGGCCAAGTTAAGGGCTGCTTGCCCTTGCAAGCAATACCTTCAAACAACCCGGTCAGGTAGGTGTCTGCTTCAACCTGAACCTGGGTTCCGCCCGTGGTTTCTCGTGAGATCAATGCTGTTAAAACATTGGTTTGTTCTTTTGTTTTTTTCTTACCAGTACCCTCAGATTGATTATCCGCCCCTTGGATTTCTTGGGAAACAAGAAGAAGTACCCGCAACACAAACACAAACAAGGGCTTTGCTGGTTGACCATGTCTCAGGTGTTCATCGACCAAGGCCTTTGGTCGGTATTAGGCATGTCTGCAACCTTAGCCTTGAATTTCACGATTTGGTCAAAGGAGCGCACGTTCTTTTCCGAAGTCGAGATGTTAGCCTTTATTTTTCTGGTCCTGTGGGCTCGTGAGCAGCGTTGGTTTCTTGTTTTGTCCGGCTTGGCTTGTTGCAACCATAGGATCTAGAGAGAACATAATAAGACGAGCTGAACAAGTACCCACATCTCGCCCTATGATCATAACTGAATAAAGTTGGTGTCCAAGTCCAAGTACTCCACAAACCAGTTTGATGTGTTCAGGCCGTGTTATATCTAGTTCTCCGATGTGTTTCGTGGTCGTTCCTTTGAGGAACCGGTGAGCGTTTGCTGGATCCTTTTGGAGGCGTGGGCGCGCGTTTCTTGAAATGTCAGCCTCGCTTGGCAGTTTTGTTGGATGGGGTTTCCAATGGCACTCTGTTGCCCAGTGGGTTGCGTCCTTTTTTTTTTTAACTTTCTTTGGGTAAGGGTTTCCGTTTCAACTCAACCCACCAAAAAAGGCTGCCCCCCTTTTTTTCCCATGGCCACTGAGGGCACGTTTTTGTTGGTGCCCAAAACAGCCAACCCGCAAAAGGTTCCCGTTTTCATCCAGAACCACTGGGGAGCCAAAAGGGAACCCAGCCACTGTAAGGGCCCGTAGAATTGTGAGGCAATCGAGGCGTAACTTCTAAAAATTGACCAAAACTACCATGGGGTCGGTTGACTTCGGGCAAACCAGGGGATCCCCCAATGATGTTTTCTGACTAATGTGTATATATACATATATATATATATATATATACATACAGACGGATCCCCCAATTTTGTTTTCTGACTTGTTTTTTGGTGTGCAAAGGATGGTAGCCAGTGAAGAGCCGACGAATCATGTCAATCCAACATGGGCCTTTCGTTGCGGACGATTTCCGCCAAAGTCGAATGCAAACACCCGCGCAAAGTCAGCCTGGATGCTTCCTGTGGGATGGGTGCATCGGATTCTACCTCCCCAGTTAAAGGTGATTTTACCATTATGTCCTTTGTTTTGTTCTCATTAAGCATGGAACATGGAAATTCGTCTCCTGGTATGTGTCCAAGCAAGTTGGCCCATTTCAAGGCGTCTATGAAGGGGAACTCATACACCCGTAACGATGTTTACCAAGAAACCAACGAAAGCAAGCCATTCCCATTTCAGCCCAGGCTGAAAGCAAACCGGCGTGTTTCGACAGGTTCTCATGATTCTCATGGTTGTTGTTGGGACGCATGTTGCATGTTTGCTTAAAGTGGTTTAGTGGGAACTCCCACCACTGAACGGCTAAAACATAAATTGTTGCTCCTCCCACGTCAAGTTGTTAATACATGGCTGGCATATTTCGGGCTGACAAGTTGGTTCCTTTCCTGGGTGCTAACAATCTTATGTTTTTCAATATTTCTAGATGGGAATGTGTCAAAAAAATCCCGGGGGGGGAGGGGGACGTCAAAATGATGAGTTTCCTTTTGGTCCCTCCATTTGAGCCAGAGCAAGGGGACTATACTTACCCTTAAAAAAGCCTCCCGTCTCAAGCACGCAGAGGAGGCTCAGTTCTCAGACAGCGCCAGGCGTGGGCACCATCGCGGTGGAAGCGGCATGCCGCTTCCCGGGGTTGATCTGCATCTCCTCGGACAAGGACCCAGCCATCCGGTTCCTTAGGTTGTTCCGCTCTTTATTTGGTTTAGTTTAGGGGTGTCCTAACATCCTGTTAGGTGGTTCGGTTTTTTATTTCCCGGCTTAGTTTAGGGGTTTCCTAATCCACCGAAAGATTTTAAGACTTTTTGGGTTTTAGGTTCTTAGGGTTTTTAGGTCCCAGTCCCCTTAGGTTGTTAGGTTCTTAGGGTTTCGTGGGGATTTCCAGTTCACCCACCAAAAGTTCCAGCAGAGGATCTCAAAAAAAAACAGGTCCCCAGCCCCCCGGTTAGGCGATCCCCTTTCCCAGCCATCCGGTTCCTTAGGTTCTGCTTTTATATATATATATATATATACATATTCCGTTTAGTTTAGGGGTGTCCTAATCCGCCAAAAGTAAAACACATGTTTGTTGGGTGTTTTGGCCTCTTAGGGTTGAGCGGGGATTTCCATTTAACCCAGTAGAGGTTAAGCTTTTAACTGAGGATCTGAGGACGGCCTAGGAATGCGCTGACCGATTTCGTCGGACAGACTTTCAAGGTTGCTTTGGACCATTGGATGCAGCGGATGCAATCAGACAATGGACGAAACATCTGGGTCTGTCTTGTAAGGTACGTCCCTTTTTGGGGTTGGTTTAAGGGAAACCAAAGGGACCACAGCCATTGGTTGTTGGTTGGGGGGGTCCCCAAAAACAAGACACACCCACGAGTGAGATGACAGGGAGGCGCCTGGAGTCGAAACCAACCATCCTTTCCGGAATCCTGATGAAAATCATATTGTTGTTCTTTCCAATAGTAGTGCTTGTTTAATATGGCTGAATTAGGATTGGGCGCCCAATTCTGAACAGCCCAGGCCAGGCGTATTTTAAAGTCACCCGACTCAGAGAGTGTTACAGTACTCCCAACTCCAACCCCCCATATTTTTTCCGGATACTCCCAACCCCCCGTAGGTATTTTTTTTCTTTCTCCTTTTTCAGATGCTCGCCACTTTTTCGGAGGACGCAACCGCCTGCCACACCGCTGCCGCGCATTGTCAGCTCGCCAAGAAGTTGGGAGCCCTGCAGATAGGCAGCGATCGAGTTCGATGCAAGTTGCTTGCTGCGAAATCGGCAGGGAATGAGAGAATTAAAAAAAGTGGGGATCCCCGAATAAGGAAACCATGCGAGATGGTTGAACAAGGGGTCATTCCAATGAGAGAATGAATTTGGAGATCCCCGAATAAAGGAAACCATGGGAGATGGTGTATAGGGGTCATTCCAACTCATTCCCTGAGCACCAGCAAGTTTGGACCGGTTGCGATGTGTGGAAGGCCGGGGCACCATGGATGTGTTTGTGTTGTTTTTAAAGGAATCGGAGCCCCAACATGGCAGCGAACAGTTTTGGTTTCCCTTTCTCCCCAAGAAAGGGGATACCAACTCCACAAAAGAGACGAAAGGGTACCAGCCGTTGTTTGGGGTGACAGACGACGACCCGAAACTGGTCATGATGTTTTGAGCAAGTCACACATTTTAAGTTGCAATGTCCGAAGGACTCTTCTTGACATCCAGCCCAGGCCCATTGACTAAAATAGCCACCCCTGAAAGGCAACCAAAATAGCCACCCTTTAAAGACCAAAAGGACAAATGCTGGTTACCTGCGATATGGGTAACTGGGATCCACTGGGCAGGTCATGGTTCGCATTTATGCTGGCGTTGAATTGCTTGCAAACATCGGTTTAGTGTCGGTTGAGGTAGTATTAGTTTAGTATTGGTATTGGTTCAATCATGGCGGGACATTGCTGCTTTAAACATAATTCATAATACTGAATGTTAGTAATGGTACAGGGGAATGATCAGTCTATTGCGAATTTGAGGAAGATATAGGGTCCGCCGAGATTTCCGACAAACACCAGAGGTTTGGGGCCACGTACTTTTCCACTGCCCACTTTGGGAAGTATCGCAATCTTGCCCGGAGTCCATGCGTATGTGTCAACAAAGAGGCGGTTTTCCAAAATCCTGAAACAAAGGGTACCCTCCAAAACAACTACATCCCCCAAAAACCTTATTGTTCAACCCCCATTAAAAAGATGGCAAGGACCCAATTTGGATGACAATCCTTCCGTAAGCAAGGGTGGTGATATGAAATTCATGGTTTTAATGGTGGTTCTAGGAACCCCAAGGCTGGTTTCTCTTGGGGTCAGACTACTCATTCCCTGAACCCCATGCTTTGTACTGGGTGGCCTGCCTGAGTTTCAGGGAGAGTGTTTTTGCAAGGACACAATTTTGGAGGTGGTTATATGAACCCCGCAGGTTTTAATGGTGGTTTGAACCTTTTTCTTGGGGTCAAGAACCTACTCATTCCCTGAACCCCGTGGTTTTTAAAAGGAAGGATTGAATTTCAGGGAAAAGGGCACCAGCTCCTTCCGCCTTTTGCTTTGTCTGCGAGGGTCCTCATTGGAACATCGGCGCTGGGATGCCCGCAAGCTCAAGCTGGACACTTTCAGTCGGGAGGGAGGGAGGGTGGGTTTGTTGTTGGGAAACATTTGGGTATGGGTCAAAATTAAACCACCAGGAATTGGACCGCAGGTTTTAGTCCTTCTTTCCATGGGCTCCATTTGTGGTACCTATTTTTGACCCACAGCCATTTTACATTTTCGCTTGTTGTGGTTTAGTGGCTGAAGCCCAACCACTTGACTGCTAAAAACACGTTTTTGCCTCCCCTTCCAACGTCAACCAAGGGGGCCTGGAACCTCAAGCATCCCCCTTGAAATATATCCAGACTTGGACCAATGTGTAGGGGTAGCTTGAGGGTCCGGGTACTGTTTTCACCAAACATCCACTTGGGCTTGGGCAAGTTGTAGGGATTGTTTGAGGGTCCAGGTGCTGTAGCAACCAAATATCCACTTGGGCAACCAATTTGTAAGGGTAGTTTCAGGGTCCAGATGCAAATTGTCACCTGAAAAAGGAGACCAAAACAAGAAGCCAACACCGGTTTGTGGGCCGTGATCCCTTAGTCCAAGTCAAGGAACAGAATGGCGAGGCGGATGTAGGATTTTCGGGGCAGAGCGGACACAGGAAACAAGTAGACGTACTGCAAAAAGGAAACGGATTTTGCAACTTGCTGCCTGAACCAACCGTGTGCGGCAAGTTATGCGCTTATGCTTTGTTCTGAAAGCATATCTTCCCAGCGGATCTTAGTTACCACTGATTAAGACACCAGCCATCATTTGTTGTGTTGTGATGAAACAGGGGTTTTCTTGGTTGCAGGGAAATGGAATCAGTGGGATCCGAATGTCCGAGGAAGACAACTCAGTGAACCTCATTGTCAGCGACTTGCCTTTCCTCAACCGCTGCGACTTTGATTTCGACGGATCGCAAGGCTTGGACATATCGCTCGGCGCGGCATTGAACCGCACCATCCAAAGAGGAAACCACCCACAGCCACAGCCACAGCCACAGCCACAGCCACAGCCACAGCCACAGCCACAGCCACACCATAGCCACAGCGACCCTCAGCCACACCCACTGTGTAAAAACCCCCACAGCCTCACCAGCGAGCCTCTCGGGCGCCGAGAACGCTTTCGCCAGGGGCGCGCCAGGGGCTTGCTGCGGTCCTGCGGGAGATGGCGCGGGTGCTGGCAGGTGGGGCTCTGAATGATCCGGGGTGGTTTTACCTGGTCGCGTTTGGGTCTGTCCCTTCTTGTGGGGTACCCCCTTTTTGGTGGTTTCAAACGGAAACCAAAACTAGGTCCCCCAGTAGCGCCCTTTTACCCTTTTGTGGGGCGAGGGTTCCCCTACTAAAATAGACGATCGAAAAAGAATCGAGTACCCTTATTCTAACCTCTCTACTGGAGGACCTAGAAAAGGAACGTAGTCTTATTTGGGGGTCCCCTAAAAAAAGATACACCCATTTTGGTGGGGTGCCCAGCTAGCCGCTAGAAAAGTGAAGGAGCCTCTAAATGGGACACACTGCAAGCAAAAGGGTTTATGAATCCAACGATCTTATCGAGAAACAGGGCCGAAGCTGGTGTGCTTATTGAGATGACCTTCATTGACCGTTGTAGCATTGTGTAGCCTTTCGGAAAACTGCGGCTTCCCCACTAACTGCCACGTAGATATTCCACTAACTGCCACGTAGATATTTGTCTTGCACAAAATGATACAGACCAAACCAGCGTCATGTCCGTTGAGTCGGAAATTAATGTCACTTTCCCCCGAAGAACCCACGATTGGGTCGCTGACCAGACTTTTTGCGGCGCTGCATGAAGCTCTTTGGAGATGCTCGGAGACTCGGAGGCAAATGTCAACCACGGGGAGCCATGTGAGGGGGGGTCCGGGACCCAATTCCATTTATCAAGTCTTCAAGGGAGAATGGAACCAATGAACTCCTAGATCCTCCAGTAGAGACGTTAGAATAAGGGTACCCTTTTTGTTTGTAGTCTATTTTAGTACTCCCCCCCCCAAAAAAAAAAAATGGTAAAAGGGCACTACTGAGGAACCTAGACTCTGAGGGTCACGGGCACTATGGTTCACCATGGTTCACTCATCCAACCCCAGGCTTCTTCCCCGCTTTAGGCCTAGGGGGGATGCTCCGATTGATTCTTTTTGTGGGGATCCTTGCGGGGTGCAATCGCCACGGACGCCCAGCCTAAAACTCCCAAGGTGCCCAGGTTTCCCAGTTTGGCGAAACGCCATTCTTCCTGTTTCGGAGGGTTTTCGACTGAAAATGTCGGCGAACCCCAAAAAGGGGTCCACTTCCCTTTTCCAGCCCTCCCTACGGATTTGGCAGGAGTGGTCGCAGGTTTTAGGGCCTAGAAGTGAAGCTGATTTCGCTCCGAAAGTGGACATCCATGGCTCGCATCGTGTCCGAGAAGCCTGAAGGGACCTCTAAAAGAGCGATGTCCCGCAGGTTCCAACTGGGGACAAGATATCCAAACACCAGCAAGCAGCACCTCGTTTTGACAGTCCTTGTTAGACTGGCCTTACAGAAACCGTATATGGGGCTAAGGTTTTCGAATGGAGATTTGACCCAGAGGCTCCACCTTGATGGTTCTTGAAGAGTGAAAAGGGCTTAAGTACATTCCGACGTACTTGGACCGTGGACCCTTAAGTCACCCTGAGACGATTCTTTGTTGAGTTCTTATTCTGCCCCGATATCGCCATTTGGGTATAAGATTAACCCACCAGACAGCAGATTTTCGTCCCTGGTTTCTCAGGGAAGCCCATTTTGGGGTTACCCTATTTTTGACTACCACCGCCATCCATCTTAAATTTCGGTTTCGACCAACGCAAAGCGTCCGCCCTTGGCGTCGCCCGTCGCTTGGCGTTGCGCTAGGCTCCGGGCGAGCCGTGCTGTTGGTGCAATCCAGGCGCGGGGACCTGTGGAGTCTGCGCAGTTTTTTCTTGGGCTGGTGCGATAGGTAGGGAATGAGAAATGGAATGAACCCAGGCTTTGGCGCCCTTAAAGGAAACCACCACTTGGATGGTTGGGATGGTTGATAGGGTTGATTTCATTTCTTATTCCGTGAGAACCAGAATGGTGTTCGACATGTTTTTGGGGAAGGGTTCCCCTTTAGACTCACCCAACTAAATCAGGATGCCTGTTGTTTCCCATGGATGAAGCTAAGTGTAAACGACCTGCAAAATGGACATGTGCACCCAGTTGCGGCTGGCAAGATGTGGTGCAACAGCACAAGAAGAGCCGAGTTCACCTGAAGCTGCACCACCAGACCTACATGAAGGGTGAGAGCTGGGATTGGAAGGCAGACTGCCATAGCCAGTGGCAAGAATATGATGCCACTGGTTGGCAGGAGCCCCAGATTTGCCCTTTCTCACCCTTTTTTGGGGAGGGCTCAGAACAAGTTGGTACCCTTATTCTAACCTCTCCACTGGAGGACCTAGGGGATAATTAGGTTAACATGGTTGTCGTTGGAAAACATTTTACATGTTTGCTTATTGTGGTTTAGTGGGAAATCCCCACTTAACTGCTAACATTTAAATGTTAGCTCCCCTTCCAACGTCAACCAAGAATCGGGCGTAGCGATGAAGCTTTTCCCACCAGGCCAAACGAAGTCACCATGTACAATGCAGGTCAACTCCGGATACATCCATTGACCCTAGTCAAAGGAACCCCCCCCCAAAAAAAAAACAGATATGGGTATGGGTTAAAATGAAACCACCAGAAATTGGACCGCAGGATTTTTCGTCCTTGGTTTCATTTGCCAGGGGAACCCATTTTGGGGTTGCCCTGTGTTTTACCCACAACCATCTCGTGTTCCTAAAAAAAACAACAAAGAAACACCCCTAAGAATTGTACGGTGCTCCAGATTGATTCGAAGTTGACAGTAAGATACTCCAGGCCCTGGGTTGAGTTGAGAAGTCTCCTAGGGCTCAACCCCCATTAAAAGAATGGTTGACCCAAGTTGGATTATGAAGTTCCTTAGGTGAATCATGGTGGTTTTCTGGACCCCCATTGTTTTAATGGTGGTTCCCCAGATTTCTGCCTGCGAGGCACATGCTGGAGGATGCCTTGCGCTACAGCGCTGGTTGTGGATTGGAGCTGCAGGAGAGCTGCCAGGCATCGAAAGCGCCACCTGCTGAAAGTCGTTTCGGGGAGATGAAGGTGAGCAAGCAACCAGACACCCAGTGACTTGTTTTTAGGAGGGTTTGTGAAATTAAAGTCCAAGTACCAAGGACTGGAGGTTTGGGTATGCGACAGTGTTGGCCAAATAGTTCATGGAGTTTCAAAAACAACTGGGTGTTCATTGGGACTCACTTGGTGGGTCCCTGGCAAACCAGGATTCCAAATGCTTCTTCAAGGGGTTCATTGGGGACACGCATGATGACTCCCATTTGGATGGTGCTCGATTAACCACAGTGTTTCGGGGGTCACCAATTCAGGAAATATTCAAATAGGCTCCCTACGGTATCCTTTCCAAATCAGGCACCTGCGGAATTCCCCGTGTTGGCAAAGTTCCGGGTTTTGGATGTCAATCTGATTTCAAGGCGAAGTAGGTGCGAGTTGCCGGGTTGGGCATCAGAAGGAAGCCCTCCATTTTGGTGCCCAGAAAAGCACATGTGTGAATAGCTTGAACGGCATCACCCGAGTCTTGGGGGTGAGTGGGTTGGAGGTTCCAATCGAGGTATGGCTAATGTTCGCAAATCGGGCACCTAGACTCTACATGGAACCTGAGGGTCCTGGTTTCGGCCATTTTCCAAAGGGAGCCTCAGGTGGGTTCCATGTGAGTGAGCAAAAGGGCCTTCCATCATCACCAGATCTAAGGATTTGTCTATTACACCTGGCATTACACCCTAGGGAAACTACCGAACATAACTAAATAAACAAAAACAATCAGGTCTTATCTGGAAATAGCCTAGAATTGGGTGATTCCCCAGAGCGCGTAATCCCAGGGTGTAGTAACTAGAGCTTTGCAACTCTCGAGTCTGGGAAGAGTATTGGCCAGCCGTCGAATCCCGAATGCTTCGGCAGGGAGGGAGGTTAGCGCCGAAGGAGAGTCGATTTTGCGGGGCACGGTATCCGAAGGTCTGAGAACATGTCAACTCAGGTCAGATTTCAGGTATATTAGCGGTGGGCATTACAAGAGGGCGGTCGTTTGCATGGGCAAAGCAGCCGGAAAGGTTAGTTTCTCATGACCAGTCAAACTTACCCTTGCCCCGAACTGGGGCGCGACAGAGAGAGAGAGAGTGAGAGAGAGACAGACAGACAGACAGACAGAGAGTCTCGCTTGATGTTTGGTGCCACAAAAGGAAGATTTGGATCGATGGCTTAAAGATGCTTGTAAGAAGCAGACAGACAAAAGCAGAACCTTCTTTGGTGAATTCGGGTCATCCTTTGAGCACAAGCACACCTTTGAGTAGTCTTGGCCCATCCGTGTCCTTTCTCGCCTATCCCCACGTCTGGAAAAGCGCTTGCCCCCCCTCTCATAAAATCCCAATTCAGAGCAGGTCCTGGTCCAAGGATCCTGCCCTTTGACATTCCAGGCCGTTTTTTCCTCCCAGCACCCCAATTCAGAACTAGTCCCGGGCTCTGTTCCCGGCCTTGTTTAGTTCTGTTTTCAGGTCAATACAGCATGTCTTTTTGCTTTTTCTCAGCTTGCTAGCGCTTCTGTTTGCCTCTCTCGGGCTGCACTCAATTTGAAGTGAAGGCCACGCCCCTTTCTCAGGCAGCTCCAAACAACTCTCCCACGCGTGTGGAAATCATGAAACCGCGCAAGGCTGTTGCTCGGTTAACGTCACCAAGCCGTGTTGGATAAGTACAAAGTGCTCCGAAGAAAAGCGTTTTTTGTTGAACATGGAACCCCCCATGTGTTAGGGGCATCTCCTAAAGCAGGGGTGTTCCCCTGTTTTGAGGTTCCAATCATGTCACTTTGCAGGGATGGAGAATCGGCCCCTAGCTCTGTGCCAAAGCATCCCAGAACCATGGGTGGCCATAACGACCCATGGTGCTCAACAGACTGGGCAATCATCACGAGTTTTGGGGACAATCCAAAACCACAAGCATCTTGCTTGCCCAAAAGCGGCGATGGTGCAACTGGAGTCCCTCCAATTTCCCATTCTTCGACCTTCAAAACTGGCGATCGTTTCAATGGACACCACCAGTAAATCACAACTTGCTAAAGGGACATTTGCTGAGTGCAATTGGAGGGTGGTAAGGGAACAGTCCCAGCCACAAATGGGTGACTTTGCCGCCTTTGTAATTCTTTACATGGCTTTGGGTATCGACGAATTTAACTGTTTTGATCATGACTGTACCTGGAGTCTCCTTCTGACCAATAAAAACTGGTTGGTCATGACGCAAAAAGGGGTCATGACCCCATGTTTGATTCGGGTCAGAAGGAGACTTCAGGCATCAGAAGTCCTACCACTACCCCCCCCAACCCCCCTTCACAAAACCTTCGGGTATTGAGGATACCAGGTCTTGAGTCTCCCTCTGACCCTTTGAAAATTGGTTGGTCATTACCCAACATATTTCGGGGTCATGACCAACCATTTTAGATTTGGGTCAGACTCGGAGACTCCAGGTAGTGACCCCTGAGACCGGGGACTGAGCCGTTTGTGGCCCGATCCAGCCGCTTGCAGGGTCAACGGAACCCCCGGGCTGTGCTGATCGGCGGCGCGGCGTGTTGGGTCTTCCTGCTGCATCAGGCGATTTCGATTCAGCCGAAGTCGAAGGGCGGGGCTCGGTTTCGGCTCGGTTTCGGCTCGGTTTCGGCACGCGGAACGGAGTAACCTCCATGACGTTGTTGCCCAGTGCCCGTTGTTCAAGTTCTTTTTGGGTAAGGGTTCCCCTTTAACCTCAACCAACCCAAAAAAAGGTGCTCTTTTTCTTCCCATGGCCACTGGGCATCTTCAAAAATAGGTACCTGGAGTCTCCTTCTGACCCGAATCAACAATGGTTGGTCATGACCCCGAAATATTTTGGGTAATGACCAACCATTTTTTAAGGGACTCCAGGTAGCCAAAATGGGCTTCCCTGGTAAATAGAATGAAGGACTCAAATCTGCGGTCCCCTGGTGGTCTAATTTTGACCCATACCCATTTGGTAACGGATCTTTGGTTACTGCAACTGTTGGCTTGAAGCTTTGTGGGTTGTCCAGAGGCTCCACAAAAAGTTTTAGCTCGCTTTTTTCAGAGGGGTCGTTGCGGCAACCAAGGTTCGGACTTGGGGGGGGGTGAAGCCTTTGCACGTGGAAACAAATGGGAAGGTACTCCTTCAACGGCCAAACCACCTATCCAAGTCCGAATTAGAGGGAAGCTGAGGAAGAACAGTATCAGAAGAGCCAACTAATTTGCAGGAATGTGACAGGATATGGGGAAGCAGGGATGTGTTTTTTTGTCCTGAAATGCTACCCCGCAGAAAGTGTATTCGGCATTCGGCGTTTCTTTGTGAATCACATTAGCTGTTTTTGTTTGGGGTTTCCTCATTTTGTGTGAGCAACTGATGATTCCACACAAGACATCACTCCGGTTCTATGCACCTCCGGCGTTCTTTTTGATTTCCCATTTCTTGAAAGCACCTTCTCCGAGCCCCGTTTTTTTTTGTTTCTTCTTCTTCTTCTTTTTTCCGAATTCTCGCCCGGGCTCGGCACTCAGCGCTCGGCGCTCGGGCCTGGCGTTGCTTTTTTGGATGCCCGCCTGCCGGAAACAAGGCTTTCTCGAGGGCCTCTTTGGTTGAATGTTTTCAAAAGAGCTTCTGCGAGCGCCCAGTTGAAATCCAGCCAAAACACCCTGAAATCTGCGACAATTGTTTCGACAATTGTTTCGCAAAACCCTGTGGCCCAAACAATTGTTGCAACAATTGTTGACAAAACCCTGGGGGCCAAAGAATTGTTGCAACAATTGTTTTGACAAAACCCTGGGGGCCAAACAATTGTCGCAACAATTGTTTTGACAAAGCCTTGGGGCCCAAACAATTGTTGCCACAATTGTTTTGACAAAACCCTGGGTCCCAAACAATTGTTGCAACAATTGTTTTGTCAAAACCCTGGGGCCCAAACAATTGTTGCACCAGTTGAACCTGGCAAAACATAGGCATGCAGACAGAACTGCTGCAACCAGTTGTGCAACTCACAGACGCAGCATTTCTTGAAACGTTTTGGTGCTGCAGCAGTTGTTGGACAACTTTGGTGTTGGGCCGGCATGCGATTTCAGTCAGCCGTGTTGCAACTGTTTGGTGCCGCCGTTTGTCAGGCGTCAAGCCTTGCGACTCTTGTAACTTGTAGTTGTAGCCGCCTGGCCTTTTGCAAGCCCCCAGGCGCCTTGAGTGGCCATGGGCCATGGCTTCTTTGATGGACATGGCCCGCATTGCGGCGGCAGCTGCTCAGGCCCCAGCAGCCTTGCGAGCTCCAAGAGCTCGGCTGGGCAAATGGGGAAAACGCATGCGCCGCACAGCGCGAATGCATCAGCTGCGGCGGCATCTGAAGCACAAGGCTGACAGTTTGAGACGTCAGGCCGTAGCTAACAACGCCGGCGGGCGGAGCAGAACCATTGACCACCTGCTGCCCGTCGCAGAAGATGGCCGCAGGGCCAAGCCGTCTGGCAAGGGAGGCTGGAAGAAGTGGACGCCTGAGGCGCTGTTGAGGGCAGCTTTTGCCAGCGAGAATGCGGCGCTTCGCCAAGTTGCGCAAGAAGTTGATGGAGCCAGCGCAGCGCATGCGCGGAGAGCCAGGCTTTTTGTTGCTCAGCTAATCGAGCAAACGCAGCGGGAAGGCATGGACCGTGAGTGCCGCCAGATGGCGCACGCTGCCACTGAGGCTGGACAGGGCCCTCTCTTCCACATTCTAAACATCATGTTCGACGAGACAGAGCTAGATGTCGCCCTGCACGGCCTTGGGCCTGGTACATGGTCCATTTTGGCATCCCACGCGCAGATCAGCGTGCGCGCAGCCGACCAGACCCGAGACTACGACATCGTCCGCCCCCCTCAGGCCTTGCCAAACAAGACTGCGCCCTGCATGTTTGGCGCGCTCTGTCAGAACCTGGGCGGCCTTTGGCCAAGTGAGTTTGCCCAAGCTGCTCGCTTCCCAGTAGTTTTGGTGACTTGTGACCAGTTTAGTGCCAACATACGGCTACTGAAGCACTTGCATGCGTCTTTGCCAGAACATTGTTACCTGCTTCCGAACTTATGCGCCCAACATAGGAATGGCAATGTCGTCGAGAGGGTGACAAAAGCTCTCGGCGTGCTCCCTGGTGCTTTCTGCGTTGCGAAAACTTTGAGCCGAGGGCAGAAAATGAGGAGCCTGATTGCAGCCGTCAAGACAGCCTTGCAAGGAACGCTCATTGTCCTGCCGCAGGAGCCCCCAGGCTTGCAAGCCGAGTGGTTAGCCGGCAGGCAGCACGCTGCCCAGTTTTTGGAGCTCGCCTTTGGCGCAGTTACTGAGAACAAGCGCCGGGCACGGCGGGCCCAGGAGTTCTTGGCCTTCTTCGCCGGGCCCTGGTCAGGACTGACCTGTGGGGGGTGTGTGCATGCAAACGGTCGGGGGTGGTTGGGGGGGGCATGTTCAGGCACACAACTTGCAGTGCAACTAACATGGAAAAGGGGAAATCTCATGGAGAACCTACTGCTGCACTGAAAGTTTCCAGGGCCTGGCTTGTCATTTTTATTCCAGGCCCTGGCCTCATATCTGAACCTTGAGTTTTACACCGGCTCCTGTTATCTGAAATGATTTCCAGGGCCTGGCTTGCTGATTCATGGCTGGCCCTTCTGCATGTTTATTCCAGGCCCTGGCCTCTGATCTAAACCTTGAGTTTTACACTGGGTCCTGGTTTACCTCTGACATGATTTCCAGGGCCTGTAGTTGCTGCTTGCGGTTGTGCCCTTGGTTCATTTCTGCAAGACCAGACAAGACATGAAAGTGGCCTGTGGCCGAGTTGTGATATGGCCTGTGGCCGAGTCTTCGTCGGGAACGCAGGCTGCGCTTGTCCACGGCTTTGCGTGACCGCTTGTTGTTCGTCAGCAGCCGTTTTGCTCAAGTTCACGCGCTAGCCCTGGCGACTCTCAGCCTTGGGTTGCCAGCAATGGCTGACAGTCGCTTCGTGGAGGCCTCCACGTTCGGGCTGGGCAAGTGCTTCCTGCCTGGTGACTTGAGGAGCAGCCAGCTCCGCGGCCTCTGGCCTAGTCCTGAAATGGGTGAGACCGGCTTTGCCGAAGGTCTTGGCATTTTGAAGGACTACTTGGTCACTGACGCGTATGGCGGTGTCAGCGCAGTGCGCTACGCACGAGACGAGTACAACCGGAGGCATGGTCGCTCAAAGAGCGGCAAAGTAGTTCAAGCATGATCGGCTTACCCAGGGCACAAAGGCCAAAGGCCAAAGGCTACCGGGTAGGGAAGGGGGTCAAAGTACTGTTAGGTCGAAGCCCCCAGCCTGAGCCTGACTGCTTTTGTAAGCCCAAGAACGAAGTGATGTTTGCTTGCTCCATGTTCTCTGTAAACCTTTCAGGAGCCCAATGCACGTCATGCTGGACATCCCAGGGGGCGGCAAGCTGTGGCTTGGAGGACAGGCAGCGCTGACGCCCAATAGCCTCATGCAGAACGAGATCAGTGTTGTCTGGCCTGCTTGCAGGGCGGTTGTAGGTGAGGAGGAGACCTGCTGCGCGCGCTTTTTGGAGCCCGTGGACGGCACGGCCGTTGTCCACAATGACGTGCCCCTGGCCCAGTTGCTCGAGCTTGTGGACGAAGTCATCCGCCTCTTGGTCGTGGAAAAGCGCTCCGTGCTTTCGGTGTGCAGGAACGGTGCCCACAGGTCTGCGACCTTGTTGTGTCTTACTCTTATGAGGCTTTTCGGGTGGACGGCGCAGGAGTGCGAGCGTCACGTGACGCAGCTTCGCAACATCGTCGACATGCGCAGCAGGGCGCCCCCAAGCGCAAGGCGTGTGAACACGGTGCGTCCTGTGGACTGGTTGGCTGAGGTCTCTGACCAAGTTCGGCAAGACCGCCCGGTCTATGATGTTGCCGTGAACCAGATGTGCACCCCTCTTCAGCTGACCCAGAAAGCGCTGAGTCTTGGCTTTGTCAATAGGTGCTTTGTGAGGAAGGTGCGAAAGTTGGAGGCGCCTATGTCAGGCCCAAAGCCTGGCGAGGGCCGCGAGGGTGACGTCACCGAGTCAGACGCTGGAAGCACGGTCCTTGTGGGCAGGAAGGAGCGCTCGTCCAGCGGTGATGGCGCGGACACCTCTGAGGCTCCTGCGTCTGATGCTGAGTGCTCCTGGGTGATGGCCGGCGGTGGCAGTCCACAGTCCACGCCTCGTGGATCTACTTGCAGCGTGGACTCCGACATGGCCGCTGAGCTCCGCCAGCGCAAGTTGAACAAGCTGGTGGCAAACCTGAGGCAGTTGGACCAGAAGGTGCTGGCCCTGACAACAGCGCCTGAGGGCTCGGCCAGTGTCAAGGGGCAAGATGGCGAGGCTCAGGGCTCGGCCCCAGTCCAAGAGATGGAGAACCAGAAGGATGCAGCGGCCACGGACGCCAACACCGCCGAGAGGAAGCTGGAGGGGCAAGGCCTGACAGTCTAAACAGTCCAAACTAAACGTTCAAACCCTTATTTGCAGGTTTAAGTCACAGTCTGACTGTTGCATAGACTACGCAGTTTGGTAGTTAAGGCCATTCAGTACAGGAAAATCCAGGAAAACCAATGCACGTGCTCAT